TTTTAAGGACTCTTAAGGACCGTACGAACCCTGTTTAAATTTCAGTTTTGAACTACTGACAGAAAAATTCCTTTTTATAGAAGCCTGTCCATGCGATAATATTAGAACCACTTCTGCAATTTAGCACCTTGAGTCTAGTGAAAAGATGAGAAAATAAGTGAAGATAAACATGTTAAAAGAAAGACTTTTTGGGATCAAAAGTAGAAAATTCAACTAAATTTGTTTGCACTGCTCTTGTAAAAATTCTTCAAAAAATAAGAAGTTCATTACAAATTTTCTTTAAAACCCATTCATTATGTATTAATACCATGGAGACATTTTTCATTTTGTTACTTTCTCTATAAATCTTGCTTTCAAATCCTTCTAAACCTTCCAAGGTCTGAGGTCTAAAAATTATCCTGCTTCCTAAGAGCAAAAAGCCAGCAGATTTTTGAATAAAAAATTCAGAAAACAAAAGTATAATGTGAATTTTTTAGAGAAAATTGACATACATTTGTATATTCTAAACAATTGCACAGGAAAAAAAGGCTTTTAAAAAATATAAAAAAAGAGAGATGAAACAAATTTTTGAATAATTAAGTAGCTTGTATTGAAATAAAGGAAGTATTGTAATCGAAAAAAATTTTGGGTATCATATTTAAACCATGAATATACAAATACATATATATACATACCCACTCTATTACCCAGCTTGGTGAGCTCAGTTTAGTATTCTTTTATTTTCGTAAATTGTGCATTTTTTTAGTTAAAATGATTGATTTATGTTCTGGTTAAGGTTTTTATGCCTTTAGTTAATCTGCATACAATAATTGTAAAATTATCTACAATTTAAACATTGTTACAGTTCTACTAAGCCTAATGAAGCCGCCACTTTGCCATTTTTTTCATGAAGCCTGCGCCTTTTTGGCGAATGGAACCAAAGTAAACATTCAGTTTTGCACATCAAAAAATCTGCTTCCTGCCCACTGGACAAAATGTTTGCTTTTGCATAGAAATTCTAATTTTAAATGTAAAAAAAAAAAAAAAAAAAAAAAAAAAAAAAAAAAAAAACTTTTAAAACTGTTTTTAACTGTAATTTGGTGCTTTAGATTTTTCCTCTGTTTTACAATTTTTAATGAAGAGGTTCTGAGTTTTTATGTATTTTTGCCTTGCCCCGAAGTGAGAACTGAATTGATTAAATGACAAAGATATCTCCAATGAAATTCGAGGAAACTATTTTAAATGAGATGCAGCAAAAACGGGTATAATTTAATGGACTGTGCAAGGAAGTCATGTGGTGTCCAAATTATATTTTTTGCTTTTGCTACGAAGTGTTTTGGAAAATGTTTTTTATAGTATAGGTTATCTTACTTATTTTCAGAATCAAAATATTTTTAAGATGCCAAAATGCCATTTTAAAATCTGACAGAGGAAATAAAGGATTTTTATTTAAATGCTATTTTTTAATTATAATTCTAATAGACTGTCATTATTTTATGATATTTATCAACTTTATAGTTTGTAAAAAAAAAAAAAAAAAAAAAAAACATTTGCAGTTCCAGAAAAAATTTTTGTATACAAATTGATCTTGAAATCACTAAATGATAAGTCACTAAATTTAGCATCGCAATAATAAAGAAATTGTATATCAAAAAGGAAAAGTTGTTTTAATGTATATTTCATGAGCTCACTAAAAAAAAAAAAAAAAAACTTTTGAAATGTTAATGTACAGGCAGGGTCTTGTGCCCAAAAATTTGGGAAGTCCACCATTAAGTTGGAAAGAATTGAAATGATATCCCATCAAATACATATTTGCCAATGAATCGCTGAAAAAATATTCCTTAAAAACCGTTACTTAACACTTAAAATGGCACAGTTGTTAAAAAAAAGAAATATCAAATGAATAAAATTACGGACATTTAAGGATCTAAAATCATTTCCAAAAAACCTAAAGACTTTTAAGTACTTTTGAGGAATGTAACGAACTTTGTAAATTGCTAGTCTGCTTTCTTTTCATATGTTGATAATGTCTGCCAACTTACGACAACTTGGGAAGCTTTCTAAAGAAATTCATAAAAAACACTAATTTGCATTCCATATATAAGTTTACTGTAAAAAATTGCAAAAGTGATTGCATTAGTACATAAGTATCAATAAAGTGCTCATGATGCCATTTTTTTAGATCTTCCAATATCTATCTGATGGCATAAGATTACATGTAATTAATTCCTTTAAATTTCTGCTTGCTTTAAAAATTATCATTTAAAATCATAGAGATGCTAATAATAAGTAGTTATATCTTTTGATTTAAAAATAAATCATATTTAACAACTGCATAATAACTTAAAAAAATCTGGATGATTTTTGAAGATCAAACTTCAGTACAATGGCATTAGCAATTGCAATACTAGAAGAATAATTTCTTTAAAAACAAAAAAACAACAAAAAAAAATTCTATGTGATGATACAAAAGTATTTAAATTCTTTAACTTGTTTGTTAAATGGATAAACATGGGGAAAAATTCATTTGTTAAAAAATATATATTAATCTTTTTTTTTTTTTTTTCTAATTCTATGGACACTTAGAATTATCATCCCACATTCAAAAACACACACAATAAGAAAAAAATTCAAGAAAATGAGTGAAAATAGATTAAGAGTTATTTCAAAATCTGAACAGAACCAACCTAAATAAATCTGCATAAAAAATTGAAAAAAAAGATATATGAATATGTATTGAAAAGTAAAATAATAACACACTTTCATCCTCATTTATTGACGCCTAAGAACTATTAGTCTCAAAACACAATTTTCCATTAATTCACTTTAAATGTCGTCAACTGTCAGTGCATCATTTCACTTTTCATTTGAGTGTTGTCATTCATCACAACATAAGTATTTTTATCTTTTCAATTCAATCAGTCTATTATGGATTAACAAACTAAGCTATTTAAAAGTTACAGATAGATTGCAGTTCTTAAGAATCCCCCTTTTTTTAAGATTTTTTATTAAAAAAAATTTTTGGTTGATCTTAGATTATGGTAACTTGGCGTTTTTTTGGCGACCAACTCTCCTACAGCAAACCTCTATTTTTTTTTCCCGCCGCCATTTTTGTCTTCACAGTACAGACATGTTTTTTCTTTTTATCTACTGAACACTTCTTCCAACAATCTACTAGCTGAATTACACTTATGCTAGAAATTTTAGCTAACAAAACTGCTTAATCATGACAAATATTCACTGCAAAATTGGGAAAAAGTGCACAATACCATACTCCTTATGCGTTTTTCAAAATAACACATACACGTCGACTTATTTTTACTTAAAAAAACATCCCAGAATTACACAAAAATGGCACTGCGCATACTCTTCACTATATCCATGTACACTGCTTTTTTCTCATAAATTAGAAAAATTTCACGAAAATACATGACAATTTTCTGAATCTTTAAACCCGGTAAAAAGAACATAAATGAAATTACCTAATCGCGAAAAAGTATATACCCTTTCCAAATATGAACATTTCCACATATAAAATAAATAAAATATCCAAAAACATTTACTTCTAAATTATCTATTATATTATAAACGTCGCCAATGAATTCATACCGCAAGCATTACAAATACTTAGTGTCAAATATTTAAATTATTCCATGCACGTTACTTCAACTAAAAACGTATACCAAATTCCTACAAACATAAAATTCACAAATAACTATCATTTAATAAAATATATTAAATTCAAAACAATACTTAAAATATAAATAAGCACATACATTAAATTTAAAAATTAGCTTACAATCCTAATTACTTTAAACTAAATCATTGCTAATAACAATTTTCCCATAATACCAAATTCCTTTACTTCCACCTTGCATTTAGAACAAACAATGCATAAAATAATATCCTCAATAATTAAAAATACTAACTTACCTAATCTTCTTCAGAATCTTGCTTACATGGTGGATACACTTTTATTATGTATTCAATAAAATTAATGAACGATTTTTTTTGCGAATTTTTCCTCCCCACACTTCCTCTGCTAATAAAAAGCAAAATTCTCTTTATTACAATGCCTCGGAATGGCGCATTTTATAGCACTCCACGTGCCCTTATTGTATTGGTATGTGCACCTGTTTCCGGATCTTTAAAATATATTTGTGGTTCACAACAAGATGTTTAAACCTTCATCTTCAAACATTCATACGATTTTTCACTTTAGACAGTGCCATACTATCCCAAAATTATTCAACCCTACTTCACACAACACACAATGAAGCTTAACACAAAATAATATACAGCCACAGATATTTTTCCAAATTCCCCGCTTTTCCGATTAAAGAACCGTAACTCGTCCATTAATATCACATGACATATCCCATGATCTATCATTTCCCTCACATAAAATAATGCGTAATCGGAACTGAGTACTGCTCACATTATTACCAAAGTCCCAGGTAGTAACCTTTATCGCTTCCAAAATGTCGCCAAACTACCAGTTACCATATTCTAAAGATGAGCCAAATTTTTTTGTTGTTACTTTTCAGGCCCACCAGCGGCCGAGCGGTAAAGACGCTGAACACTGGTAGTTCGGTGCGAGGTTTGAATCCCCCGAATGGGCTGGCTGCATGGGTGTTTTCATGGTTTTAGCCATGTATAACGTGTATACGAGCCAGTTTTCCTTAGAAAGCCCTCCACAAAGGCATCCATCCCTTCAGGGCAGATTGCCCTTGTGTGCTGTGCCATAATTGAATAATCCAATCCAATCCAATTGTTTACTTTTCAATCTCACTGACTGAAATAAAAATGCATTCAGTTTGTGATATTAAATTATTATAATCAAAGTTCATGATATCTAATTCAAAACACTGAATATCTTAATAGAATGAATGCTCTTTTTTTTTTTTTTTTTTTTTTTTTTTTTTTTTACTTTTCAAATAATGATACAGATTATTCCCGTGTTAGTCTAAATGTTTTCTTCATTTAGTATCCTAAAATCTTTGCTATTCCATGGGAGCTTCATTACTATAATTTCTGTTGATAAACCATTTGAACTTTAAAACAGCTTTGTTATGCTACTGTTAGAAACTGAACCCTTTCAGATTTTTATATTTTTTAAATACTTATTTTTTTTTATTTTTTTTTTATTTATTTTTTTTTTTATGTATTTCATGCCTCACTTTTATTTTTTTATGTTTTGAAGGCAAAATTTCATAAACTTTTTTTTGCATGAATTGTAAAATAGTTATTATAAAATCGGACTCTTACCATGTTTTCCTCTTGCAGCTGATGAAGTTGATCTTTCAAACGAGCAACTTCTCGTTGACTATGAGCTAACTGCTCTTGTAAATGTACTGCTCTCTCCTCAACTTTCTCTTTATCTTTTCGAGTTTCTTGCAGCAATGTATTGAGTTCAGAAGTTGCTCCAGCTTCACGCTCTCTTTGGAGTTCTAATACCTGCAAATAACAAGCATAACAATTATGATATGAAATACATAATAATTACAACAGAATGCTGCTTAGAGTGATCACAGTTAATATTATCATTTGGATGAAGTCCTGCCCATTTGTACACGAAAACATGGAAAATAAATTGCTTGGGATAAAAAATTAGGTTATAGAATAATTTTTTTAAACTGAAATAAATCGCAAAATAAATTTAGAATGCCATTATAAAAATAGTGAAACTGCAAAGAAATGATACCAAGCAAGAAATTAAATTGCAAAACATCTTAGTTTTGATCAGTCAAATATTTAAAACCAGGCAAAAATCAATTTTAATTCTGATGAAGATTTTCAAACTACCCATCTATTTTAGGGAATAGGGAGCCTCTTTTTTTAGGAATATATATATATATATATATATAAAAAAAAAAAAAAAAAAAAAAAAATTGTCTAGAGAATTCCCCCCCCCCAAGGAATTTGGTACTTTTCTGTTATCGGAACCAAGTTCAGAATATGTATGAAAGCAGGTAGGTAGGTATCTATGTGTGTGTGCATATACACACAAATATATATGCATTTACATGCATTTCTGAATCCAGTCCCGATAACAGAAAAATACCAATAACTCCCTAAAAACATCTATGTCAAACTAAGGTTGCTTTATTGCCTAATTTTAAATTTACATTTTCTCTTCAAGTGAATGAGGGAATAAACTCTGGATATTGAGATAAGGGCGTATAGCATCGGCCAAATGAAAATGTTTACATTAAACTGTTAGAATAAGAAAATGACATCAGAATAAATGAAATAAGAAATATTATGAACTGTTCATATATAAAATTTTATACAGTACAAAGTCCGTAATCCAGACGTCCATTATCCGGATCTCAAAACCACAAACTTGATGCATGCGTGTAAAGAATGCGCATACATTACGCATGTGCAAGGTTTAATAAAGCAAACAAATAAATATTAAGCTTTTTTTTTTTTTTTTTTATTTGATACCCTTTAGATCATAATTGCTCTTTATTTCATTGTATAATTTCTGCATGCCATCTTACCAGATTTAAATTGATGATCTATAATCTGGAAAAACCCCTAATCCGGAATCGCTGAAGTCCCGACGAGTCCGAATTACAGACTTTGTACTGTATTAAAGACATTGTGAACAGCTCATAAACAAACTTTCGCACTTTCCTAATTGAAATGCTGTGAAAGTGCCTAATTATAAGTTTTTAGTTTTATTTATATTAAATTAGTTAAATTCTATTGCTGTTTTGTAGCATATTTTTTCTCATTGTTTAAAGTTATCAAAATAGCCATGAATAAACAAGATCACATTTAGCGGCATTTATTGTACATTACAAAATTAATGTTATAGAAACAAAAATTAATACAGGAAAAGATTCCAGAAAATACAAATAAAAAGAAATCGGATTCTTTACAGTAGTCTTTTTAATTCCTAAACTTCAGTGAAATGAACGTAATATTTAATACAATTTCCGAAGTTTTTAGTTTGGAATGCTGCCATATTAAAGAAAAAATTTACATCTTTTCTAGGAGAAATTTATTAAATAAATTTATGTTTTAAGAACAACAAATGAAGAATTTTTATGAGATTCACAGAATACAAATTCGTACAAAGGAAAAAAATATTGAAACAATTCATTATGTTAAAGATATGGGGGAAAAAAAGGTTTTCCAAACCACTTGTGTCTCGTGAATTTCATTCAAGCTTGAGGATACAGCATTAAATTTTAGAGGAATCCTCTATAATTTCTCAAAATATTTTATATCCCAATTTTTCAATTATCAAGGGAAAATAAAAGCTTCAAAGCAATGAGCTGACAACAGTAGTTACAATATAGTGACATAAAAATCTTCCTAATCTTGATTTCAAAAGTTTTGAATCTTTTTATATTATCACTATATCTAAGACTAAAATATGTAAGACTGAGACTTTAAAATATAAAAACTGTTTTCATAATTTGTGAAAATCTTGATTGAATTAGCAAATAATATAAGGGTATCATAAAGCTTCTACCTGTCAGCAGTGAGAGTGCAAATGGGATGTTTATTCTGAAGAAGAGCAGAACGACTTCTATTTACATGCACTATTTACATGCACTTCACTTTAACTTGGTAACTATTTGCACATCACTTTAACTTGGTCATGCAAGACAGATGTGGAAATTATATTACAGTGGAGCATGATTTAAACATCTTTTAAGGGACCATTCACAAACGATGCATAAATGAGAAAGACATACACACAAGATTTTAATTTATGATGTGAAACATATTCAGAGTGCATCATAAATTCATAATAAAAGTAGCAAGGCTTAAAAAAAATTTAGTTTGGGCGAATATGATCAGAGGGGCATCAGATTTCTTTTCCACATATAAAAAAATATTCCAAAAGTAACCGAAACAGGGCACGGACACGTCATATTGAAATGGTTTATGAAAATTAGGCTAGCAATAAAACATCTGGCTAGAAATGGATTCGTCATATGATGCCAACAGCATGCTATCATTACCAGATTCAGTATTAGTGGTTAAACTTTTCTACAAAAAAGACTGAAGGCACAAAAAAAGACCTATCTCACTGAATGGAAAAATAAATTTAGAATGATGCTTTGAGGAAATAGGGAATTTGAAGGATCGTCTATGAAGTGGCAGACCACCCTTCAGTATGGATTGCATCCATGTTGTACAAAGTGTCACGAAAGAATTGGCAGTCGGGACATCAGGGGCAAGTAGCAGCCTTGTGAAGCTATTAGAATAATTGGGATTCCGGAATCATCAATTCGACGTATTCTATATGGAATCTTGTAAAAACAAAAGGCAAATAGTGCCATATCTGTAACTACCATGTTGATATTACTCTTGAAATCTGTAGTGGTTATCAAGGTAGCAGAAAAGATAAATATTTTGTACTCTGGTAACCAGGGCTGTGGAGTCGGAATCGAAGTCGGGGCAGATTTTTGGAGTAAAAGGTGTCGGAGCTGGAGTCGCTAAAAACAGGTCGACTCTGACTCCAGTTTTTGTTGGACAGTTTGAATTTGAAATGAATTAAAAAAATGAATTGAAAAATTAATGACAAGCTGAGTTATTATTTTTATTTATGGACTATATACATTAATAAATAGTTATTTTTCTTATTTTATTGGCATATTAATAAATAAATATAAGGGAGGAGGGATGGATGTGATATTTGCCATTAATGATTAAACTGATTCCTTTAGTTACAAATCTCTCACCGGTAAATTTTAGGTAAGCAAGCAGGAAAAGGAGCAATTATTGATCAAGCAACACGATAAGGAAGTACACATTTGATGATAAAGAGGTTTTTAGAATAAGAGCTTTTTTAGAAGATGTAGATAGCCCTAATGTTTCACTAACAGAAAGACTGTGGAATGATCTTGCAGAATTGGAAACTCTTCTTTCTACACCGTATACACCATATAGCCACAAAAAAGCCGCAAACTGAAGAATTAACTGACAAAAGTTTCTGCGAGAATGGAAAAATGTGATATTTGCTCTTTTGAAATGGAGGGTACTTACTGCAGAAGAAATCGTTTTTTCTAAAGAAGAAAAGAGAAACTAGTTTGTTAGACAATGAGATTTTGCTGGGTTCAACATATGTAGATCCAAAACAAAACACCGAAATTTCGTTGGATGACAAACAAATTAAAAAGGCAAAGAAGCTATTTATGAACTTTCATTAAGAATGAAATTATTCTCAGAACAAATACAGTATTCAAATCAGGATACTCAAACCGCAGACATTGCAACTGAGTCTCTATCATCCTCTTCCAGTGATGAATTAGATTTTGAGAAACATTTGGATAATATTAAAAAGGCTACGACAAAGTGAATGAAAATAAAGAACCAAGAGCCTTTAGATATAAAAATAAAAATTAAAAAAAAAAAAATTTACACAGCCTTTGAAGAAATAGAGAAATATGATTGTTCTTGCAAGATACCTCTTTTAGAACATATAAAAATCTATCCCAAAAATCTAAAAGAAATAGCCCTAAGGGTAACAGCTCTTCCTTCTTCTCAATAATAGACATGTCAGCATGGAAAAACTCTTCTCAGTTCTGAAGTTTATCAAATTGGATCTATCTATGATCCTCTAACAAAGATCTTGCCAAAGCTATACTGTTTCTTAGAAACTACTAATGCCAGTTATTCCATTTCATAATAAATGCTAATTAATATAAATAATTTGCTTATGCCATCATTTTTTTTTTTTTCTGTAGCTCCTATTATTTTTTTTATATTAAAAAAAAATAAGCCGTAACCCATGTGTATACATTTAAATGTATATGAGTCGGAATCTAAAATTCTAGGAGTCTACATTTTCCCTACTGACTCCACAGTCCTGCTGCAGAGTGATGTCAATACGCAAGACAGTCGCATCTGGGCAATGTCATATCCTACCTGATCAAGGCACTGCACTGCATTCTCCTTATATGACAGTTTGATGTGGCTTCAATATGTCTTCCATTCTAGGCCCTTTCCTCCTTTTTAACAGCATTCTTCTATATCTGGCTGGATAACCTGTACAAGTTTTGCAGAACAGTACGTTATGCTTCTGCATTACACAGTTGTGCCTACATTCCAGGACAGCATGCATTATCTGTCATCACCTTCATGCAGGATGGTGCCCTGCCCCACACTGCCATGTGAAGTCAAGACTTTTCTACACTGGAAACTTTCACTGAAGAAAAAGTCAAATGGCCATTATAATCACCAGACTTGACTCCAACAGATCTTTGGTTATGGGGATACTTTTTGTTTTAAGTTTTGTGCGTACAGGGACTCCCCATCCACTTTGGTGGAGCCAAAAGATGCCATCTGACGGACTGCCGATGACATCAGTGCCAACATACTACATACAACTGTAATAAACATAGTGCTGTGCCTCACTTTCACAATACCTTGTGCTGGTGGTCATGTTGAACATGTACAGCGTCATGTTATTGTGATCTGTTTCATTGTCTGTTTGTGTTTGCATCATTTGCATAAACATCTGAGTATAATGTGTGAGCAACCTCTTTCAGCTACTTTTAGAATCATATCTGTGCAAACCGAAATTTATTCTGAACATTATAAACTTTTATTATGAATTTTTAAAGTTATGGCACATCCTGTATATATTATCTACACAATTTGTTTATAATATTAATTACATTCAAACAAATTCAAAATTAATATTGTAAATAAATATTTAATTAATATTAATATTTTAAAATAAATAAACAATTTTTTTGAATTAATATTTTAAAAATAATATTACTTATCCAGTAGCAAATATGTATAAAATTGTAAAAATGCACATTTCTGTATAAAGTCATGTAAAATTAAAAAAAAAAAAAAAAAAAAAGTCAAATCTTGATTTGAATTGCCATCTTAAATAAAGTAACACTTTTTCTTTCAAGAACATTTTAAAGCAAATTTTAACTTTTTTTGGAGAAAGAGTGTGCAATTATCATCTGACATGTCTTTTGATTCTGAATCTTAAGCAAAGTGCTATGAATTAAATTCAGTTCTTGAAATGGTTTCTGGCTTGTATTATTACACTCCAAGAAATTTCTGTGGATGTCAATATAGTAATTAGCATTTTGAAAAAAAAAAAAAAGATTGGTTTATTTCTTCATTTTCTTCTTCATCACTCCTATTTAAGTTTCATCTGGTAAAACGTTTTCAATCAGTTTTTCAAATGCGCATAGATCTGACGTCATTACTTTAGCATCACAGTTCAAACATTACTCAACTGCAATGTATATAGCAGGGGTGTAGCTGTGGTGTGCCAAACCAATCTACCAATATGACTCAAGATGCTCCACAGTAAGAAATATTTGAAACAATTCAATTCCCACCACAATGCATGCAGAGTCAGGGAACAAGTCAATATATTAATTATGCATCGTTTAAAAATATGGCACTTTTCCGTTTTACCGGCGCAAACGATAAAGTCGCCAATAATGGTACAACTGATGCCAAACGGAATATCTTCGCTGGTAACCTTTTACGCTTCCTTTCCAAAACAAGTCACAGTCTTCTCTTATCAGATTGATTGTTTCTTTCAATACTGGCATACAATTACATAGAATGTTTACAAGATAGTTAAACTTTATGCCCTAAGACCATTCGCAGTAATTAAGTCAATTAGGATGCAATCACACCACTCACCCGAAGGCAAAAATATAGAAAAGGCAAAATGAGAGGTTAAATTCATCAATTCTATTTTGAGAATGCACTGCGGTTTTACATAATTTCTGAGTAAGCTATTCGTATGAATTCTCGTATTTAAACTTGTATTCCAAATTAATACTTAACTTGACATTAATGTAGCTAATTACTGACAGAATTAGATTTTTGTAGCGCAGTTTACGTGAGATGAGATAACTTTGGGGCCACGTGATACGAACCAGTGAATCAGGATGTTGAACCATGAAAGCATAGTGAATTCTTAAATTAATGTCTTTTTTACAAATTTATTATCTTTATTTATTGGCTTTTTACAAAATTTTAAACCAAATTAAAATTTTATGCCTTCAAAATAAAAAATTCTTAGAACTAAAAATTTTTATGTGTATACTGTATGCTGTCGCCAACAAAGTCTGCTTGGTGAGATTTGCGCCGACGAAACAACATAAAAATAAATATGAACATAAAAATAAATATGATTATTATATAGGTAAATATGAAATAAATATAATTATTATATATTTATAATATAAGTATTCCTTCAATATAGTTAAATAAAGAATTAAAATTTTGTTGCTGAACTGTTCAACTTAATATTACAATATCAAGAGTATAACTTGTGACTTTCAGTTTGACACATGATTCTGAATGTTCAGTTTCTAAACAGCTTCTTTATGGACTCAATGTAGTTTTTATATGAGAATAGATTTGTTCACAGAGATATGTAAATTTGCCTTTGCTGCTTCCCAATGAGCAATTAGGAAACTACATTTTGGTTGCTTTAGGTTTGGTCCCTATTGTTTGACAAAATGTATTTTGTTTCTTATATCCAGTAGCTCTTTTTAAAAGCTCTTTTTAAAACTTCACATTTTTCATCGTAATTCTGAAATGTAGACTGATATTTAGTTTGAAAATGTCTTTGTACACTTGACGTATGATATACTATGCTTTTGCGACATAACACTCATACAGGAGCATCCTTTTTTGTATGAATCCATATTCATTTGTCCAAGTGTCTTGATAACCGTGAACATAAAATTATCTTTTTTTAGAGGCCATTTGATTAAATATGTAGGTATGATTGTCAGAATAATTAAACAAATACAAGTTTTCATAATAAAACTAAGAACTGATCGTAAAGTTAAAAAGTAGCCTGTAGCATACAACATTCACCAAACTAAATTCTATTTTCAACTGAAATCGTGCTCTATACTTGTGAAACAGCATGACAAACTAAATGAAAGGAGACTAAATGAGTGAGGCATGAGAGTGCAGAGACAAGGCGATCTACCGTTATCTGATAACTTTGCAGAGTGGTGTAGCATGGCACTGAGAATTGTACTGCATACCATAATTTGCTGATGCCTGTTATATAGTTTCCAATCTCCTGCATCCATAATCAGTCTCATCATCATTTTCATGGTAAACACTTTCACTTGACTCTTGGTTCAAAAATCCTGCTTTAATGAAGAAGTATTTAATTGTTTGAGTCCAGGCATGTAAAATCATATTCATAGCCTCAGGAATATTTTGTCTACTTTCTGTAGTTATATTTTGAAGGGCTATTTGAATCACCCTTTTTCTATAGAATATTTTAAAATTCTTAATGATACCTATATAAAGGCCATACAAAACAAGTACAGTTTGCTGAGGAAAAAACAACTTTTACATTTGCAAGAAATCTATTATTTGAGAATGGACGGTACACTGATATATAAAAAATTAAATTTTGTGCTTTTGTCTATTTTCTTAAGTCATTCTGTAGAAATGCCAGTAGTCATGCATGCTTTCCTGTTTGCTTTATATTCTAATGGCAGAGTTTTAACATGCTTGAAACACTTTGGTTTTTGTGACTTACTTACTGTTTTAATTCGAGCAAATGTTTGCGGTATGGAGGAAATGACTCCTTCAGTTATAAGATTTTTATAACTGAAGGAGTCATTTCCTCCATACCGCAAACATTTGCACGAAATAAAACAGTAAGCCATTCTTTACTTTGCTTAGCTCCATGATACTGGTCAGCTTTGAAAGGTAAGGCTTCTTGCAGGCATAAGTTTAATCCATTAACGGCAACACTACTTTTCACTTGAAGGAAATGAACAAAAATTATTTTCTGTCATATTAGAGTTTGATTAAGAGAAGAAAAAAGTTAGAGGGATTTTTTTTTTTTTTCATTGAGAATACAACATGTTTCAAAAATGCAACTTTTGGGATGCATAATAATCTTTGAAACATTTGCTATACAGAGGTACATTTTGTACATCATATTTATTACAAACAGTTATCATTTGACTATCACAGTATTTATATCTTTTAGTTGAATTTTCTCAATAATGTGATTTCGAGGGTTCATTTCTCATTTCGCATAAGGCTCAATTGGTCCACCAACACTATTAGTATATAAAGATGAAAGTTGCGAAATTTCAGAATATTCTTACCTTGTTTTCAGCAGTGCCAATACAACACTTCTTTGAAAATCCAACAGGGATCATCTTTAGGGTCTATAGCAATCTTAAAAATTTCCTTGCATTTAATTTAGCTACATAAATAAAATTTGTAAAAACAGTCCATTACTATTTCTTATGTTTCTTACGTTCTTACGTTGCACTCTATACACATTACAATAAAAGTTTCCTGAAAGTTCATGTCATCCATATACTTGTGGCAATTTCCAATGAGGTTAGGCTGTTTTCCAGATACAGATTTGTTTTCTTTCCTAGAGTACCACTTGGCCACTAAAGTTGACAAATTGTATCAAAGTTAGTCGCTATACCTATGCAGAACTGCATTCCATCAAAATTACTGCAATGCTATGCTCTTTATCAGATGTGATGTCATATGTTCCATGTTCTTAGTTTTCCATTTTGTCTACAGGTTAAATTAAATAAAGATTACCCAAACTTTATGACCCTTGAAATACTAAAATCAAACACAATTTTCTTTTATTAAATATGGATATAAAATTAAACTAATTTTAATTAATTATACTTTAAAACTATAAGTACACTGGTAGTAACATATGCTATAAAACTGCTATAAAGCAGAGAAGAATAAGGTGGTCCGCAAAACATTCTAATTTCTGAAAGTGGTTCTCAGTTGAAAAGAGTTCAAGAAATATTGCTTTGTACAGAAACTTTAATTTAAAAATCTCAAAAAGGTTATCAAATACCTTTTGTTGTTCATTTTCAAGCTGTAATTTCAACTGTGAAACTTCAATCTGACTAGCAGAGAGCTGTTCTTGACAATCAGTCAACTGTGCTTCCAACATGCGTTTGTCCGCATTTACACTTTCAACGGTCGACTCTAGCAGCTTCACTCTATCCCTCAAAAGCAGCAAATCTGTCTGAGGTCCAGAAGAATCATTTTTAGCTGCTTGTAAAGCAGAAGATAACTGTTCTTGCTTCATTAGAAGAACATCATGAGCTTCTTGAGCTTTCTGAAATGTAATAAAATATTAATTAAACTAATTACATAAATATTAGGATTTATATCTTTAAAATAAAAAACATTTACTTTATTTAATAGCTGGGAAAAATAGGAACTTTTAATTTCCTTTTCTTACTTAAGGCAATTTTTAATAATTACATCAGTATTACCTCTAAAAGTCTGAAAAATCAAATGAGAGTTAATAGCAAATATAAAAGTAAAAAAGGTTTTTTTTTTCTTTTCTTTTTTTAACGCACCAGAGGTATTATTTGCATTGATCCCTACTTTTTTATCCAAATCACTTTTCATATTAAAGAATGTTGGCACCAAATGCTATCTCCATGAATCAATTTTAAAGAAGTAATACTGCAAATATAAAAAAACTAGCACTTTTCCGTCATCGAAACTGGATTCAGAAATGTATGTATATATGTATGTGTCTATGTATACACACACATACATATGTATGTTAATACATACATTTCTGGTCTCAATACTAGTAAAGTACTGAAATCACCCAACACAAATCAAACAATGTTACCGCCATGTATTATTTTTAAAGAAATACTATATAGTTAATAAATCTATGGCAACATTTAAAACTTTATCAGAAATTCTAAAGAATACCATAATTTAAGGATAAAAAGATAAAAAAAAAAGTATATAAGTCATCTTACTAAAAAAAGTGAACTTTGATATGATGTACTGAGGAAAGAATAGAAATAAATTAATGACAACACTTAACACTGTATCAGGAATTTGAAACATATGCTGCTTTTATAAATTTTGCCAATTTGCTGTTTATGCAGAGATGATGGAAATGATGTTTAATAATAAAAATTAAAAAGACAAAAAAGACTGCTTAGGTCATCTAGTTAAGAAAACTGAATACTGATAATATGAACTGTGAAAAGAGAAAAAAGTATGGTAACACATTCAATTCACATAATCAAATACTAATCCCCCCCCAAAAAAAACAATAAAATTGCTGAAAACTGGAACACATAAACAGTTTTGAATAGCAAATGTAATACATATGCATTGGATGTGAAAACTGGTATTTTAGAAAAGAAATAGAAAATGAAAAATCTTCACGAAAAAATACAGTCTGAAACTGACAACACCAAAGAAATTTTCTATGGCCCACAAATATATTTCAATTATGCCTTTGTTGCAAATATGGTTTAAAGTTTTCAAGATTTTAATTACTTCAAGGCCACATTTAAAATAATAACAAAATGTGTTAAAATAGTCTGAAACTGGCATCACCAAAGCAATTTTATATGGCCCATTAATACATTTCAATTATGCATTTGTTGCAAATATGTTTTTAAAGATTTAAAATTTTTAATTACTTCAAGCCCAAGTTTAAAATAACATCATTAAAAGCTAAAGTGAATAATGCACTAGAAAACCTATAATATTGAACTAATTAGTTTACAATGAGATATAAACCTTATTCAAATATTTGAAGACATATATTAAATTAACTTGTATTCATACTTGTCAAAACACTCAGTTAAAAATTTTTGCACTAAGAACGATCGCTTTGGGGGGGGACACATTTATATAACAGCAATTTTTTTCCACAATTGAAAATTAATAATAAGAAAGGAACTCGACTGACCAATGAGCATTTACAATCTGTGATGAAGATCATTTCTAGTAAATTTTCCTCCAATGCGCCGATATTATACAATTTTTTTAATTACATACAAAAATTTTAATTATTTAAATAGAAACATATGTGTTTTAAGTTATGTGTCGAATAAATATTAAATAATAAGAGAAAAAGACTAGGTTGTCATTATTCATTCACAAGTTAAATTATGCTATTTAATGTTTAAGCATATTAGAGTTATTTGAAATATTTATCAGTCTGTAGTATTAATATTTAGCAGTTAATATATTTGAATTACAGTAAAAATAACTTGCAGATACTAACCTTTAGATTTCAGATAGAAAATAAAATTAAATTTGAAATATTTTTGTTTGTTATTTTGGTCCACAAATCTCTAAATAAAAAATTTTGTAAACAAACTGATTTTGAAATTCCCAAAATGTTGATAAGTTGCCAAATTTAATGCCATGTAATAAAAGAAAGTCATATCTCAAAAAGTTAAGAGGTTGTTTTTGATGCAACATTTTATAAATTCTTCATTTTCATTTGTAAAAAACAATTATTTTGAAATAATTATAATTTAATCGAAACAGGGCCTCGTATCTAAAACTCAAGTATGCATCATTTATGTTAAGAAGTAGGAAAGAATTCCAATGTTAACACATCACCAAAAAAACATTCCTCCAAAATGTTAATCTTATATATATAATAATAATAATAATAATAATAATATATAAAAAAAAAAAAAAAAAAAAAAAAAAAAAAAACAAAATGTCAGATGAGTAAAATTAAGGACTTTTAAGGACCAAAAATAGTTTCTCAAAAACCTAAGGACTTTTACATATTTTTAAGGATTGTATGAAACTTTACATTGTATGAGTTATGCAACTCTTCCAAAATAATTGTTATTTCACACTTTCTATGAATCTTGTAAATGACCTGAGAGAACTATATAGCTCTTTAAACTGCCTCTAACTAGCCTCTTTTTTTCAGTAATTAGCACCATTTTGGGTGGGGGGAAATCAATTTTTCAAATTTGCAAATACTATGCTGATCCCTCATAACATCTTTATACCAAAGACTGAAATTCAGAGCACAATTTTTTAAATTATACACAGGTTGTACACACCACACCTTAATTTCCGGTAGCACTGCATTTTACTAAAAATTTAACAATTTTAGAATTAAAATATGTCAAGTTACTCTTGATTATCCGGATGCAGATTATCTGCATGTTGTGTCCATGCATAAACACTCAAAAAACAAACATACCCAAATCTAAACATGTTCTAAAACTGCTGAATTGTTTAAGTTTTGTTTCAAAGATTAACTCGTACAATTCACTTTGTATGTGCCCATTTATTTAACTGTGAAGAAATCAAAACAATAACTGAAGTTATATGCAAAAAAAAATTTTAATGTAAAATTCTTTGGAAATCTTTGAAAAAAACTAGCTACCAATATATTGTGAATAAGTTACTAAAAATATGTAAAATATAACAACATATGATAATGCAGTGCTATTTTGCAATTTTCTGAATGCTATTTCCCAAGTTTTTGTAGATAATCAATTCAAAAAACAAAAATATAAAATGCATGAATACAGAATCTTAATTTGCATGCATTTATTTATGCATCAATTACATTATTTTATTAATTAATCATGGTTAGCAGTAAATTTGATTTTTATACAGTGTTTGTTCATACTTTTACATCATCATGCGAGAAGATGTATCAGAAAGTTTATTTAGTCATAAAAAACTTTATATGTGTGTGTATATATATATATTCTGGATTATCTATAGGAATACAGCAGCTAATATGGGCTGATATCATTCTCTTTAAATGCAGAGAAAGGCTGTGATTTTTCTAGCCAATCTAGGGCACAAGTTTAGCAAATCTTCGTTGTTGCTAGAAAGAAATGTATAATAACAAAAACGAATAAATAAATAAAATTTCTCACTTTCAATAAGTCAACCAAAGTACATTCTCTCTCAGATGGAGATAAAGATTGCCCATCTTGATTATGTTCTTGAAACAGCAGCTGTTTCAACTGTGTTATCTGCGTTCGACATTCTTCCAGTTTTTCTGTTTGTGAGCAGAGGGATTCTAGTAATACAGCTTTTTCTTCTGACATTCGTTCATTTTCAAGTTGTAAATCTGCCAATTGGTCTTGCAAATCAGTCAGTTCTTGAAGAGTTGCTTGAAGTTCTTCATTAGTGCTATTGATTAAGTTGTGTATCATAAATGTCCATGCAAATGATTTTCAAGATCAATAGAACAATTACCGAAGAACAGCAAAAGATTAAATTCACCATATATCAAAATATAACTACATAATACAAAGAAATAGTACTAGGGGATTAATGAAAACCAAGAGCTACAGTAGGCATAAACTCCAACCTACAGCAAAATTTGCCAGTAGTCAATGTATGAATGACATTTTTACAACTTTGGAAATGTGCATGTAAGGCTACTTTTTTAATTAACTGGTTAAATGTAATTAATTTAACTACATTTTACCTAAAATCCAAATATACAAAAACACCTAATAATCAAAAAATTGTCTTGTAAATTACAGCATATTTAATTACCAATTTTTATTTTATTATTCAAGAAGAAATATCACTAAATTTGCTGATGCGCCGCAGCAAATATTTTAAATCAACTGTAGAGAAAACTGGAATCCATAAACTATATCTCTTTGAGCTTTTTAGATTCTAATTTCTACCGACAGATGGTTAAGGGGAAAAAATCTTTGTTACAGGAGCCCCTGAAATTAAATCGCGAATCAACCAAGACATTTCGCCAAAATCTGCCTGCATGTTCTTATACCTGGCCATGTGATCATATAATAGCATCGGCTGCGCATTCTTATACCATGCCACTTAATCGTATATTAGCACAGTGGTTGCATTTTTGCTCCCAACAAGTGTTCTTATGCGATTCATTTTTGACGAGGTTTTTAAAATCACACTGTTTATTTAAAAATGTATTCATTGATGTTAACAATCTTTGATTTACCAAATATTTAAGTGGATGCCATATAATTTTTTTCAAGAAACAGTCTTTTACCTGACAAAAGAAGTCTGTGAAAATGGTCACAACATGAAACTTTATGTTAATAATAAACCCATTTGGAGGTACTATGTTAAAGAAGTTATTACAAAAAGAAGATGGGCCTCTACATTGAAAATTGGTTTAGCAGTTCCAGAATATCATTTGTCGCTGCTATTAGATTTATGTATTCTTGGACAGGAGTCAACGCCCATAAAATGGTGTAATAAACAACTTTACCCTTTCTGGCATGCTACCTTTTAAAGTTGGAATTTCGGGAGGAAAAAAAAAAAGTGATAGGCAGTCTAATCAGGCCTAGAGGAGTACACAGGTAAAATTTTTTTAAAGCTAGCACTTACCATTTTAATTCTGTGAGTGTGCCCAAAGCAGGCTCATCGAATGAATAGAGCTTCGAAAAGAGTGCTGAAACGAGCATTGCTGGGAAGCACATAATAAAGTAAAAGATTTTGTCTACGATTAAAAAACACTAGATTCTGTATACCGTAGCAGATTTAGCATCACCCATTGTGTGCCACGGGGAGGCTTGCTACTCTACTACACGCCCCCAAGGAAGGTGGTCTTCTTGGTTACATGATGATTACATGCGAATAAATGGGGAAAAAAAATTTAACTTCTGTATATGATATTTGCATTATTTCACATTTACACTTTAATCTATTTTTTCATGGTGATACTTTTTGAAAGAAAGTGACACAATCTTTGAAAAAGCACAACCCAACATTGCATGTTTTATACATGTACCAGGACCCATATCAGATTCACTATCTGAAGGCAATTCGTGTAGCACTTTTAATGCTTCAGAAATGGTCAGCCTTCTCCGATCCATTTTCAAAATAATTAAAAATCAGAAAAAAATGACTTAGATCTACAATTAGAAAATATAAACTATTAAATAAACAGCTACAACTCAAAACTATCAAAACATAGCACTAACAAAACTTCTTTGAACAAATGCGAAAGAGAACTGCTGTAGTGAAAAACCACACAGCTAACTGATAAAATTACCCCTGACCTTCATAAAAATCACCCCAACAATTTCTTAGCTGATAACCAAACCTCTCCACCCCCCCTCAAAATAATAATTAAAAAAAAAAAAAAAAAACTAAAGAGAAACAGGAAGTGAAACACAGATGTGGATCCACCTTTCTATTGTGAATGAGCTCACCAGAGAGATGCAGTGAAACAAAGATACAGCTTTTGGTCTGTATGTACTGTGTGTGTTCTCCTAGTGTTTCAAGAGAACCCACTCTGGGTATACTGATTTTCAACTTTCAATTTTAGGTAAGATTTCAAAGAAAAATTTAAAAGTAATATATAATAAGATGATTAGTATACAGCCAAGAAAATAACACAGAAATATCTTTTCAAACAATTCCTTTTATATCCTAAAAAAAACCTGGAAAATTTCTTTGAAAAATGAGGGTCTTTAAAAACTAAACATGGCTAAAACATATGGACTGGTTTGTGTTGTGCTGCCATATAATATAAATAAATAAGCTTCAGAGTAACCTATAAATCCTTTTTCATTCAATTTTTCTGTGTGTACAGAGGGAAATTTTTAGGTGCGTAAAAGTGCCACAAAGTGTTAATATATGCGAAAGTGCTGTAATCGAATAGAACAATTACATGCAATAAAATAATAATAATAAGAAGAAGGATTCTTAAAAATATTCTTAAGAAACATGTGAATATTATTTTTATTATTATATATTGTGCTGTTTATTTTTACATTTGCGCTTTACGAGTTTGGTGAAATTATAGCTGAGATCTTGTTGCAAATCTAAAATCGCCAAATATGGTTGGAGGCCACTATAACATACAAGTACCCAACAGAAAATAAACAAAATAAAAATTTTTATAGAGACAAGAAATGTACATAAAATCATCAAAAATCTTTATAATTCTTTTATGAAATACAAACGTACAGATTTGTAGCATGCTTTGCAAGGTTAAGTTCTGAATTAGAAAATCTAATACGATTCTTCATCTGCCTGCATGTTTACTTTTTTGAATGAGAATGGTTTCATGAGCTTTTATACCTAAATTTGGCTGAAATGCAGTCTTTTTTTTTTTTTTTTTTTTTTTTTTTTTTAATAATAGAAGAAAAAATCTTTCACAGTTTTGCATTAAGATGAGTTTTTTTTTTTTTTTTTTTTTTTTTTTTTTGAGGGAAGGTGCTATGGCAGAATCCAAAAACACTGCATTTAAGGCCTGCTTCTAATGGTCCAAAACAGAAACTAGAGGGTTATGTTCAATTAAAAATCATAGTAAATAACATTCAGATTTTATACCATCTATTTCATCATCTCTGTGAAGAAATTTGATATTTCTTTGAATTTTACAGCACTAATTTCTTTATACTTGTAAGGTTTGTATGCTAAAACTAACCAGTTATTAATGAAGTTGACCAGTGTTTTAACTTCTTTTAGTATTCCTAACCAGAATACAAATTAGCTTTTAGAGTAAAAGTTTCTGGCACTCATGTTATCTAACAGAGCTGCACTATGTAACTTAAGCTTCCAGACCAACTGCAACAATTACATGCCTTTTATGAAATACATGCCATTTATACTTACATTTTATGCTATGTACAACTGAAAAATCTTTATTACTAGTGGAAAGTGCATGATTTGCAAACGTTTAGATGCTTTCATGCATGGAAATTCTCTACAATATGAGGCTTCAAATTTCTGGCTTGATAATTTTAACCTCTTATTCTAAGGTGGCATAATTCACGAACTTAAAAACATCCAGTTTAATCACAACTAAACAAAAAAAAAAAAAAAAATTGCAATGTTTTTTTGCTATAATATAGTTGAATGGGATCTGCAGCATAAACACATCCTTCAGTGCAGGTTATTGAGGGGAAAGATAAAAGTCAGAATTCGCTAAATTATTTGATTTGTTACTCTTCAAAAATAGCAAGATCATCCACTTAACATTTGATGTTACGATGTGACAAGCATTTCACCAACTGGAGGTATCAGTTGGTTCCATTTTGCATGCCATTTCCCTTGCCCTCCCCCCCCGTCAGTAAAATCTGATCACCCTGTAGCTTGTTCTAGTTTAAATAACTTGCTCCATATGAATTTTATGTATTTCCTTGTTATTATAACCCTCCTGTTTTTAAACATTAAACTGATGCCAAGTTTATCAGCAAGTTTGTGTTTACTTTTCACATATGCTTTGTGACTTTCATATTTTTGCAACTGGTTTTAATGTGGCATCAGAAGCACTTTCTCAGTACAAGAACTTTTACCATATAAACTTTGCACAGTTAGCTTCATGATGATGGTGAATCATGCCTTGTTAATTTTTATTTTGCCACTTATAAAGTGCAAGTCTTTTTTTAGACTTTTTTCAGTCTTTTTCTTTATGCATATGCAGCTGTTGTCGGATCAATGAAATCTGCTAATCTGCTTTTTGCAATTCCCATGTTTTGTATGCAAGCTAACAGTCTGAATAAAATGTCAATCCCTCTTGTACAAGGTGGATGATTTTTTTTTATGAAATTGGTAACCTCTTTATTCAGAACCTGAAAGAGAAAAAATTCACAAGTTTCTTGCATTATTCATCAAATATCCTGTACTGTGGAAAAACCCCATTACCTTTGTTTTTCCCTCACACAAACGGATTTTTGTTACTGTTCACAATTTCTTGAAGGCCAAATATTTATTTATTTGGCTGTAGTAGTTAAATATAAAGAAAACACTTCTCTCATAAAATGTTCTAAACTCGCATTTTTGTAAAGGCCCAGTTACTTCTCCTACCACTTCATCGATATCGGCTCCTCTGCTCAATAGTACACAAATCACTCTCCTATTACAAACAGTGTTTTTAAACCACTGAACCAGTTGGCAAAACATAGCTTTTCTTTCACTCACATCTTTTCACACTGTACCTCTATTCTATTATTGATAAGTAGTTTAATTAAATGGCTATTTCTGCACATTCAAATGTGAGGTAAAATATGTCTTTCTTGGAAGACAAAGATGCATTTTTCTCACTTTTCATTCAAACATTTTAGAAACTTTTTTGAAAAAGTCTGATGTGTACCCCACATGACTTCCTTGTAAAGAATATTCAATTATACGCAATTTTCCTGCATTTCACTTAAACATATTGAATTAACAGTTAACGAATTTTGAATTAATTCTACTTCGTTGATAGCGCATACACCACAATAGAATAGATGCACTCTTTGAAGTTCACTATATCTATTTACCATAGCAACGTTTCAGTGCTAGGTTCACTTAACAGCATTACATCTCATTCATTTTATAATTCAGAGAGCACAAAAATTACATCATCTGAAGAATTAACACAAGTTCTATTCAAATACTATAATAAATCTAAAACAATGTATAAAATAAATTAAACAAATAAAAAATAAACAGTTTTTCACAGACGATCAGCACCGCTTACCTAATGTGCATGCACTCCTAATTAATTCAGTTCTCACTTTGCAGCAAGGCAAAAATACATAAAAATTCAAAATAGTTTCATTAAAAATTGAAAGATATAGAAAATATAAAACACCAAGTACAGTTAAAACAATTAAAAACAATTTTTACAATTAAAAATACAATTTGTAAGCAAAAACAAGCTAATAACTTAAATGATAATTCCAGAATAAATTAAACATAATCTAATTCCCAATAATAAAAGAAGACGTTACTCTGTTGTTGCGAAGCTTAGTTTCTCTAGATTGCAAAAAATCCACTATTCTGCTAAGTTTCAAATGTAAACAAATATGGCTGCTATCGTAAACCATAATTAGGCTTAACCGCACTTTAAAAACTTTTAAATTGTTGATAATTCCACAATTATTGCACACAGGTTAACTAAATGCATAAAAATCTTAACCAGAAGATAAGAACAACATAATTCAATCATTTTAAAGTAAAAAATGCAATTTACAAACATATAAGAATAAAGAAACTGAGCTTAATGAGCCGAGCAACAAAGTGAATACATATATTTATATACTTTTGATGTGGCAGACCGCAACCGAAAAGGCAGGTGCACAACTACATGCTATAGCAGGCCTATATACAAAATTTCAACGTTCTGAGGCTACTCATTTTCAGGTTTTGCGAGATACATACATACAGATGCCACGAAAAAAATCTCTTTTGAATCCATTTAAAATCAGTTTTATAATTTGTTTCGGGAAAAAGGGTCCTTCATTCTGTTCTTATGCACAGATGCCGTGGAAAAACATAGTTAAATTGAATTCAATAGCGGTCAAAACGGGTATTTTTGTTGAAGTATGATACCTAAAATTTTTAACGATTACAATACAATACTCCCTTTTTACTTCGTACTTGGAGCTCCTTTTGTGATAAAAGAATTATGAGAGGTCATGAAATGTTAACATTTATAATAAAAAAGAAATTCAAATAACACATGGTTTACTTGTAACTCTAAAACAAATTACAACTGATTATAGTTATAACTGCCTGCTATACAATGCTGGTTTCATAAATAATTTTGGTGTTCTGAAAAGGGGCTATGATAATACAATAGTACCAAATTTTACTATAACAGCTCTAAAAATAGTCCAGTTTAAGTAGGCTTACCAAATATCCCGCTTTGACCGGGGTTGTCTCAGCTTGATATGTGAACTCTGCATCCTGGCCAATTTGTCCAGGTTATATGGTAAAATTTTATAAGTGCTGAACATACAAAAGTAAAAATAGTGTAGCCTCAGTTAAAAAGCAATTTGGCAATTAAAATATTCCCTCTGTTACACTTACAGTTGCCAATCTAAATATTTTGTCTCTAGATCCAATGTTGTCTAATGTTTAACTGTTATCTAGTGCTCCAAAATGAAGGTAGACAGATGTCTTTATTACTCTGAGCTATGGGGAAAACAATTTTGGTGGAGCCGAATCTTTTATTTCTTTTACCTGTTATTAAAAATAGTGAATTACTATGGTCTGAAATAGAAGCTGCCAGGAAAAAAAAACAAAACTGCCTCAAATACACTGCTCTACATTGAAAATGCAACACCAAGAAGGAGTTGTCAGAAATTTATGCAAATATTAGAGTAGATGCATGTCACTGAGTTATGCGAATGATGTGAAATGCGCAGCTCCACGACACACATGAAGTAAGATATAAGGGAAGGAACGTGCAGAATGGGCAATATTTGTGTCGTTATTTCTGCCAGACGAATTATCAAAGAAAGTTGGTTTTGTTCCGGAGGATACATGTAATAAGAGAGAATGTCAGGCTCCCGTCAAAGAAGGCACTTCCAGCACATAGACGATTTTACGAGGGGTATGGTGATCGGACTGAGAAGGGCGGGTTGGTCCTTACGTCAAATCGCAGCTGATACCTACATGGATGCGAGCACGGTGCATCGGCTATGGAGAACACGGTTGGAACAAGGAAATGTGAAAAGAAGAAGAGGTGCAGGTGCAACCAGAGTGACATCAGCATGCATGGATCGACACATCCACCGACAAGCTGCGGTGGTTCTGCAAGTCACTTGTACCGCAATTCTGCAGCATGTGCAAGATACCATGGATGTTCCCATGTCGACCAGAACCATTTTCCGTTGTTTGGTTGAATGTGGCCTGCACTGACGGCGTCTGTTAAGAAGACTGTTATTGACCCCACAGCATAGACGCCAACGTTTAGAATGGTGCTGGACTGGAGCAATGTGGATGACAGAATGGCAAAACGTCGTGTTCTCAGATGAGTCACGCTCCTGTTTATCCAGTGACAGTCGCCGCATACATGCGTGGCGTTGATGTGAAGACAGATCTAATGCGGCAAGAACTGTGGAATGCCCCACCGGTTTGGGTAATGGTTTGGGGCGCTATTGCCTACGATTCCAGGTCACCTATAGCTCGTATTCAGGGCACTATGACGACCCAACGATACTTGAATAATGTACTGCACCCGGTGGCAATCCTCTACCTTCAGGGGCTGCCTAATTCAATTTTTCAGCAGGATAACGCCCGACCACACAGTGCTTGCATCTGTCAACATGCTCTGCAAGGTATACAGATGCTTCCCTGGCCACCTTACTCTCCTGACCTGTCACCAATCGAACATGCGTGGGATGTGATTGGACGCCATTTGCAGACTCTGTCCCTGCCTCGTTCAGAAGACGAACTGTGGCAAATGGTTGAAAGGGAATAGAAAGCCATCCCTCAGGACACCATCCGCACTCTTATTCACTCTATGCTTAGACGTGTTTCTTCGTGCATCGCTGTCCGCGGTGGTCCTACATCCCACTGAGCCGATGCCGTTCTCGCTCTGCATTTTGATTATCATTTTGAAATAAAGATCACTTATTGCTGCTTGTTGTTTCTGTCTTTTTTCCAAATTTCATTACTTTCTGACCACTCATTCTTGGTGTTGCATTTTCAATGTCGAACAGTGTAATACAGCTAAACATGGATCAACTTTTTTATGAAGTAATGACTGCAAAAGTTTTTTTGGTCAGCTAATTATAAATTTGGAAAATTAAAAGGTGTGAAGAGAAATGGATACAACCTTTAAATCATTTAAAGGAAAAAAATCCTTGCTCAAATAATAGAATACATTTTACACATGCCAGAAATATCAGCATCAGTCAAAAGAGTATTCTCAATAACGAATATCATATGATCTGAAGAAAGAGGTAGAACATATGAATCAATCATAAAAGCTTTACAAAGCTGCAAAATTAACAGTGAATTAAACTGCCAGGAATTTTTTGATGTTATTAAAAATTAACAAAGAATTTTTAAAGAAAACTTAAGATAAATACTACCTATTAACTTCTTAGTGATAAGGTATGTTCAGTCGGGTTATTAAAAATTTCTTTTAAGACACTATCGTTTTTTTTTTTTTTTTTTTTTTTTTTTTTTTGTTGTTGTTGTTGTTAACTTTTTATGTAGACTTTTTCAATAATGGGTGCATATTCTAGTAAGTTTTATTCTCTGCTGTGAGTATTTTTTCCAAATTGTCCAGTTTGACCAAAAATATTATGGTAAGCCTAAGCGGTCCTATATTTTTATTTTCTATTTGAGATGAAATTTAAAAATATGCTCACCTGTGATGTGTTTCTTCCATCTGCATGATTCTATCTTGCAATAAGCAAGCAACCGACATCTCACTCAAACTACTACTGCTTCCTCTTTCCCATTCTGGAAGACTGCGCCCTGAGGGCAAAAGGTTAACGCCAGATGCTTCACCGACATCCATATCGAGAGACTTTGGACCATCAGTTGAATTATTCTAAAAATAAGTACATAAATATATTACATAAAAGATATAAAAGTGGGCATTTATACATTATCACAACGATCTTAGCAGAAGTCGCCAAATTTTCAGAATGTGCCAAACTCTGGCAACCATGTGCATAAACATTCTTCAGGCAACCATGCTCATAACAGTCCTTTCATCAAGCAATGCCACTATTTTCAAATGTGTTCCTTTTTTTTACATTCCAATAACTTTGCAGGCAAATAGTGCTATTTTTTGCCTTCAATTTAAAATTTAAAATATCACTTATGGAATTTGGCAGCCATGGAAGAGACTGCGGTAAAAGCTCTGCAGGAATGCAATATTTTTGCCACAAAATACTTACATGATGAGATAAATTTCATACATAGACCGTTTTCAAAGCAGAGTTTTGTAATTCTCTGATTTCTTTATTAAAGCAAAATCGCTGTGTATGTGACAACAAGAATAGCACTAAAGAATTAAAGAAGATTTCATGAAAAATGTGTTTTACTCTTTTAATGTATCATATACTCCTTATTTAATAACTAAAATTTGCATATTAAAATGTTTTTTTTTTCTTTTGATATGTTAGTCAGCAACATTATCATCATTTTAATAAACACAACAACATGTTTATGTTTATTCAACATAAACATTTTAATATAATTTAAAATTTTGTAAAAAGCCAGTAAATAAAGAGAATAAATTTGTAAAAAGACATTAATTTAAGAATTTACTATGCTTTCATGGTTCAAAAACCTGATTCGCCGCTTCATATCCCAGGACTCCAAGTGATCTCATCTTACGTAAACTACGTTACAAAAATCTAATTCTCTCAGTAATTATCTACATTAATTTCAAGTTAAGTCTTAATTTGGAATACAAGTTTAAATGAAAGAATTATTTCATTTCGTACGAATAGCTTACTCAGAAATTATGTAAAACCAGTGCTTTACTTTGCTAGTGTATTCTTAATAAAATTGATGAATTTAGCCCTTGACTTTCCATTTTCTATATTTTCGCCTTAGGGTGAGTGGTGTGATTGCATTCCATTTGACTTAATTACCACGAATGGCCTTAGGGCATAAAACTGTATCTATCTGGTAAAAATTCTATGTAATACAGTCAAGAGTCGTTAATCCGGGCACCCATAATCCAGACCTCAAAGCTACAAACTTTCTGTGCATGCATCAATGCATAGGCGTTCACTCATGGGCGTAATATTTTTACGCATGTGCATAATACGTTTACGCATGCACGTTTGATAAATATTTTATAAAGTTTAAGAATATTTTTTAAAAAAAGTCATGAAAATCGGCAACTTGAACCTCATAAAATATGTTACTTTTTTATGCGTTAAAGACCGCCACGGTGGTTGCACTAATACAAAAGTACCAAAAAGTGATATTAGAAATTGTCATGTACAAGGCTTGAAACCAACTAACATAAAGTTTGACCCCGCGAAAAAAAAAAAAAAAAAGCACTTTTCAATATGAAATGGGAACAAAAAAGTGATACATAATATTAACTTTTACACAGACAGAAGAAGCATGGTATGCCATTTTAATGCTTTTTTTTTTTTAAGTTATCCCAGATCGGTATGGGAGACTATCATATAATATGATTAATATGTTTCTCCCGTATGTTGTTTCACTTTAAAAATACATCCCAAAATGCTTGCCTTCTTCCTATACTTGAGGCTCTGTATAGTATCTTTAACGTCCTCCATTCACTAAATTATCGTACTTTCACTCAGAAGTTCTTTATCAGTCCAGACCTTACATTTAAAGATTTCCAGTTTCAGGTGAATTCAGAAGAAATCATATCAATTTTTGTCTAAAATTTCTGTTTTATGCCAGACCTCACTTTTCAGTCATTAGTCCCCGTCAGGCAGTCCAATAAAAAGAAGTTGATCGCAGAATTACTGCCATGTCAACAAAGCCACATAACAGGCACAGTAGTAAGTTAACCAGCCCCATAGGATGGAGATGCTTCTGCAAACAGTTATGACCCAGTTCTGAGACGAAAATTTGCAACACTTACATCTCTAAGAAGATTATGGAAAACTGGAAACTTTGATAAGATACCCCAGGAGTTCTTCCTAGACAGTTCTTTAAAGAGATTTTGCTGATATACATTGATTGTAGAATTAATTAGTCTATAGGAGGTAAAACAAAATCAGGCTGCATCAAGCTATCAAAGAGGTCGTTTCCAATATGCCACTATGGCTAAAACTATTGTACACATGCTGTCCACTTTCCAAAAGAGAGTCAAAAACAATCAGTTAGTCAAAAAGAAATTTTTTACTACCAAAAGACACAGAAGAAAATGTCTTATTGGTAACCTGGCAATCAATAACAATAACAGTATTTGACTCCATTCCCTTGCCAATTTTCTCAAAAGAAATAGTAGCCACATTACCATCCAAGTAGTACAAAATTTAGCAAGAGTTCTGTTGAAATTAAAATGTTCTGAATGTACCCCAACTTCAGCACTTTAATGGCTCCATCAAAATTACAAAGGATTACACATGGTAATACAAAATTCTTAAGAAACTGTCAGGACTTGCTTGTGAATGTGAACCTTGCCTACACAGTTGGATTCTCTAATGCATGGGTTCCCAACGAGGTTGGTATTTGGGGTCAATGATGATCAAAAAGTCAATAGGCAAATATGCACTGACAATTATTGGCATAATCAAGATCTCACTGATTGAAAAAATATTATGAAAATAGATAATTAACTGTTTGTTGATGTAAAGCTGTATCATATATTTCAAAAATTATATAAAATAATACATTTTCAAAAGCAACAATATTTTTTATTAAATATATAAATTATGTATGCAGAACATGCAATATAAAGAATGACAGGCAAGAATAAAAAAAATTAAAAAAATACACACACACACACAAAAAAAAAAAAAAAAAAAAAAAAAAAAGACCATGAAACTGGAATGAAAACCAAGAAACATGTAGAATATTTTTCAATGAGGTGATTTAAAAATTATAAGCAAGTTTGTCCAAAATTCTTTTTAAATACATCAATTGCAGCTAACACATTAATTAAATCTAAAATATTTGCAAAATTTAAAATAATACAATAATTAAACATAAATATAATAAATCATTTTTTCAATTCTTTTGCTCATATTTTTAATTTAAATTATCTTTAAGTTAATTATGTACAATTTTTTGTATTATGATTATGCTGCATACTGTACAGTCAAAAGTCGTTAATCCGGACTCGTCGGGACTTCGGCGATTCCAGATTATAGATCATCAGTTTAAATCTGGTAAGATGGCATGCAGAAATACTAAAATTAAAAATATGAAACCGTAATTTATGAAATAAAGAACAATTATGATCTAAAGGGTATCAAAATTTACAAAAAAAAGCTTAATATTTATTTGTTTACTTTATTGAACATTTCTTTCAATGTAAGTTGTTTCGTTTTATGTGATAATACTTTCTCTTTAATTCTATAAACAGACATAATTTTTTGTTCACTTACAAAGTTCCGCTGTTCAAGTCCCGTTAATTGCTGTACCGAGAATACCGACTAACTTGTCAATTGAAATTTTTTCGTTTTCACTAACCTCTCTGTCACATTCTTCATGTCTTTATCCATTTTTTGCAGCAATTCCACTTTTTGTTTGATGGACATCGAAACATACTTTCATTTTGTATGATCCTTTGGGAGCTCCAGAATCAAAAATTCTATTTCACATAATTGAAAGTTCAAGTTTACTTTTTTAGTATTGCTCTTACAGTCTGCAAAAAATAATAAGCCGGATCCAATTCGAAAATTAAGGAACAACGCAATCATCAACATTAACTGAAATAGATAATTAGATAATTTTAGCCTACGCCGTCCATTATACATAAAACGCGCACGTGAAAACGTATTCTGCGCTTGCGCACATGCAAATGCGCAGTCGTAAGAGGTCTTACGCGCACGCGTAAACGCCTATGTGCATGTGTCAATGCGGAGTATGCGCAGAAAGTTTTCAGCTTTGAGGTCCGGATTATAGATTATTCCGAATTATGGGTGTCCGAATTAACGACTTTTGACTGTATATCATGGTAAGCCTAAGCGATCCTATATTTTTATTTTCTATTTGAGATGAAATTTAAAAATACCTTTAAAGAGAAAAACGTTAAGAGGAGTTGATAAAGAATGCTATTCTTTTGACTACTAACAGGACATATATGTCTTACTGAAAGTTTAAACATTACTACTGTGTTAAAAAGTACTTAGAATCTCCTGAATGTTGGGGATCACCTTTCAATAATTGGAAAATATATATGTTGCTGTGATTGTTGTACACAAATGAACACAGGGAAAAGGACAAACAAAAATTGCCCAAAGTGTAATGTTGGATTATGCAAAGAATGCTTTACCCTGCACCATACGATGTAAAATCTATTTCATATAATAAAGTTTTCCAAAATAATAGAAGTGCTTATAGTAAGTCGATTGCCATGTATGGGACGTGTGTATCCCACCATTAACTACAGCTGGGACATAACCATTTGTCAAAAAAATCTTAAGTGCTAAATTTACCTTATTTATGACATACAGTCAAAAGTCGTTAATTCAGACACCCATAATCCGGACCTCAAAGCTACGAACTTTCTGCACATGCGTCGCGTTGATGCATACACATAGGCGTTTACGCGTGCTCGTAAGATCTTTACGGCTGCGAATATGCGTGTGCGCATAATACGTTTACGCATGCGCGTTTAATGTATAACGAATGGTATAAGCTAAGCTAAAATTATCTAATTCAGTTAATGTTGCAGATTGTGTTGTTCCTTAATCTTCGAATAGGATCCACCTTATTATTTTTTAAAGACTGTTAGAGCAATTTTCTAAAAGTAAGCTTGAACTTTCGATTATGTCAAACAGAATTTCTAATATATATTTACTAATATGTAAAGGATCTACAAACCGAAAGTATGTTTCGAAATCCGAAATCTGTTTATCAATTTCACGCTGCTCTGCGGCGGGGAGGGGGAACCGCAGTGGGGCGCAATGAATTGGAAATTGATCTGTCAGCACTATCCTTATCTTCAGGGCAGATTTTTTTTTTGGCTTATAATTCCTTACTAAATGTAGTATTTCATCTCGATGTACTCCGTCTTTGATATGATTTAAATCAAGTTCCTCGTCATTAAAATTCGCTTCCGATAGTGAAGAAAGTGACACAGAGGTTATTGAAAACGAAAAAATTTCGATTGACAAATTAGTCGGTATTCTTGACACAGCAATTATAGGACTTGAACAGAGGAACTTTGTAACTAAACAAGAAATTATGTCTGTTTAATAGAATTAAATAGAAAGTATTATCACATGAAACGAAGCAACTTAAACAACTTACATTGAAAGAAATGTTTAATAAAGTAAACAAATAAATATTAAGCTTTTTCTTTTTGTAAATTTTGATACCCTTTAGATCATAATTGTTCTTTATTTCATAAATTACGGTTTTAAATTTTTAATTTTGTAATTTCTGCATGCCATCTTACCATATTTAAACTGATGATCTATAATCCGGAAAAAACGATAATCCGGAATCGCCGAAGTCCCGATGAGTCCGGATTAACAACTTTTGACTGTATTTTGTTCACTTAGATAGAAAAGGAAATAATAATTTATTTGGTACCTTTCCGTTTCGCCATCATAAATCTCGCCAATCACACTTTATTGGCGACAACATATAGTATAGACATAAAAAATGTTAACAAATGTTAGTTCTAAGAATTTTTAATTTTAAAGGCATAAACATTTTAATATCATTTAAAATTTTGTAAAAAGCCAGTAAATAAAGAGAATAAACTTGTAAAAAGACATTAATTTAAGAATTTACTATGCTTTCATGGTTCAAAAACCTGATTCGGTGGTTCATTATCCGAGGACTCCAAGTGATCTCATCTTACGTAAACTACGTTACAAAAATCTAATTCTCTCAGTAATTATCTACATTACTTTCAAGTTAAGTCTTAATTTGGAATAAAAGTTTAAATGAAAGAATTATTTCATTTTGTACAAATAGCTTACTCAGAAATTATGTAAAACCACAGTGCTTTACTTTTAATAAAATTGATGAATTTAGCCCTTGACTTTCCCTTTTCTATATTTTCGCCTTAGGGTGAGTGCTGCGATTGCATTCTATTTGACTTAATTACCACGAATGGCCTTAGGGCATAAAACTGTATCTATCTGGTAAAAATTCTATGTAATACAGTCAAGAGTCGTTAATCCGGGCACCCATAATCCAGACCTCAAAGCTACAAACTTTCTGTGCATGCATCAACGCATAGGCCTTCACACATGCGCATAAAATTTTTATGCATGTGCATAATATGTTTACGCATGCACGTTTAATGTATAACGGACGGTATAAGCTAAGCTAAAACTATCTAATTATCTATTTCAGTTAATGTTGCAGATTGTGTTGCTCCTTAATCTTCGAATTGGATCTGGCTTATTATTTCTTGCAGACTGTTAGAGCAATTTTATAAAAGTAAGCTTGAACTTTCGATTATGTCAAATAGAATTTCCGATTCTGGAGCTGCCAAAGGATCTATCTACAAAGCAAAAGCATATTTCGATGTCTATCAAACAAAAAGTGGAATTGCTGCAAAAAATGGATAAAGGCATATCCTTTGTTTTTCTAACCATTCCGAAATCTGTTTATCAATTTCACACTGCTCTGTGTGGGGGGGGGGAGAAGAAACATCGTGGCACGAAATGAACTGGAAGTTGATCTGTCAGCACTATCCTTATCTTCAGGGCAGATGCTTTTACTTTATTCAGCTTATAATTCCTTACTAAATGTAGTATTTCATCTCAATGTAATCCATCTTTGATATGATTTAAATCAAGTTCCTCGCCATTATAATTCGCTTCCGATAGTGAAGAAAGTGACACAGAGGTTATTGAGAACGAAAAAATTTCGATTGACAGATTAGTCGATATTCTTGACAATTATAGGACTTGAACAGTGGAACTTTGTAACTAAACAAGAAATTATGTCTGTTTAATAGAATTAAAGAGAAAGTATTATCACATGAAACGAAGCAACTTAAACAACTTACATTGAAAGAAATGTTTAATAAAGTAAACAAATAAATATTAAGCTTTTTCTTTTTGTAAATTTTGATACCTTTTAGATCATAATTGTTCTTTATTTCATAAATTACAGTTTCTTATTTTTAATTTTGTAATTTCTGCACGCCATCTTACCATATTTAAACTGATAATCTATAACACGGAAACGCCGAAGTCCCAATGAGTCCGGATTAACGACTTCTGACTGTATTTTGTTCACTTAGATAGATAAGGGAATAATAATTTATTTGGTACCTTTCCGTTTCGCCATCATAAATCTCGCCAATCACACTTTATTGGCGACAACACACAGTATAAATAAACATAAAAAATGTTAACAAATGTTTCTAAGAATTTTTAATTTTGAAGGCATAAACATTTTAATATCATTTAAAATTTTGTAAAAAGCCAGTAAATAAAGAGAATAAATTCGTATGAAGACATTAATTTAAGAATTTACTATGCTTTCAAGGTTCAAAAACCTGATTCGCCGGTTCATATCCCAGGACTCGTACGTAAGAGAGTGATCTCCTCTTATGTAAACTATGTTACAAAAATCTAATTCTCTCAGTAATTATCTACACTACTTTCAAGTTAAATCTTAATTTGAAATACAAGTTTAAATGAAAGAATTATTTCATTTCATACGAATAGCTTACTCAGAAATTATGTAAAACCACAGTGCTTTACTTTGCTAGTGTATTCTCATTAAAATTTATGAATTTAGCCCTTGACTTTCCCTTTTCTATATTTTCGCCTTAGGGTGAGTGGTGTGATTGCATTCTATTTGACTTAATTACCACAAATGGCCTTAGGGCATAAAACTGTATCTATCTGGTAAAAATTCTATGTAATACAGTCAAAAGTTGTTAATCCGGACCTCAAAGCTACAAACTTTGTGCACATGCGTCAACGCATAGGCATTCACGCATGTGCGTAATATTTTTGCACACGCGCACATGCATGTGCGCATGCGCATAATACGTTTACGCATGCACGTTTAATGCATAACGGACGGTATAAGCTAAGCTAAAATTATCTAATTACCTATTTCAGTTAATGTTGCAGATTGCGTTGTTCCTTAATCTTCGAATTGGATCTGGCTTATTATTTCTTGCAGACTGTTAAAGCAATTTTATAAAAGTAAGCTTGAACTTTCGTTTATGTCAAATAGAATTTCCGATTCTGGAGCTGCCAAAGGATCTGTCTACAAAGCAAAACCATGTTTCAATGTCTATCAAACAAAAAGTGGAATTGCTGCAAAAAATGGATAAAGGCATATCCCTTTGTTTTTTTAAGCATTCCGAAAATCTGTTTATCAATTTCACACTGCTCTGTGGGGGGAGAAGAAACATCGCCGCACAAAATGAGCTGGAAGTTGATCTGTCAGCACTATCCTTATCTTCACGGCAGATGTTTTTATTTTATTCGGCTTATAATTCCTTACTAAATGTAGTATTTCATCTCGACGTACTCCGTCTTTGATATGATTCAAATCAAATTCCTCGTCATTATAAATATCACGAATACACATCAAATAATTTTCTGCTTGCAATTTTCTAATTTCGACTATGCATAATGTATGCTTTACGCATGCGCGTTAAAAGAAATGTTTAACAAAGTAAACAAATAAGTATCAACCTTTTTTTTTTTTTTTTTTGTAAATTTTGATACCCTTTAGATCATAATTGCTCTTTATTTCATAAATTACGGTTCCATATCTTTGATTTTATAATTTCTGCATGCCATCTTACCAGATTTAAATTGATCATCTATAATCCGGAAAAACCGATAATTTGGAATCGCCAAAGTCCCGACGAGTCCGGATTAAAGACTTTTGACTGTAGTACCCCAGTATAGGAAGAAACAATCAATCTGATAAGAAATAGATGTAAATTGTTTTTAAAATGAGGTGTAAAAGGTTACCAGCAAGGATATTCCGTCTGGCATCAGTTGTACCATTATTGGCGACTTTATCGTCTGCGCCAGCAAAACTGAAAAGTACCTTTTATTATTATTTTTTTAATTCATAGTCTTTTCTTCCTCCCTTTTTTTCATTTTCTTTTTAAAATTTGTAGTAAGGGTTAAAAAAGGGGTCAGCGCAAGAAAAAGATTGGGAATCCCTCCTCGAGTGTCACAGCACATCACTATGATACTTCTACATGAGACAACAATTAGTAAAATATATGCATTCTGTTTCTGCAATGAAAATCACATTATTCCTGCTAATTCTTTTACATTTAACATTGGAAAGTTTCCTTTGACCAGACCTAGCTTTACAAAATTACTTACTTGGCTTTTATCTAGATTTAGGAATGATCCTGATAAAGATCTCTGTATTAAAATTTGTTCTTTCTGATTATCGGAAAGAGCAGTCATTTCAAGGGACACACCAAGCTGCAGAAGTCGCTCCTTAAGAGTCTGGTTTTCTGACTGCACAGCTTCAAGTTCTTGTCGCAGTTGATCAACTGCATCATCACTCTTCAAATCCTTTTACAAAATGCAAATTTATAATTAAAATTAAACTAGGGCAAATATAATAAACATCAATGCTCTAATGTAATTCCACTTATACAGTTTCAGCACAAAACATGCCCTATACACAAGTGAACAAGCAGCATTTTTTTTTTTTTTTCAGAGTTGATTTCTTCTGGGGGGGAGGGGACAGATGAAAATGAAAGAAATGAGCAGTAATGCACTTGTGGGACTGCTAAAGTGGATAAATTTATTAATACCATATTTCTTAATGCATTTTCCTCCTCTTTATTAAAATAATTTTATTGTCTCAAAATCAAGGGAGGGGGGAGAATTATGCGAGTCATTTAACATCCAAAGAGCGCGGTTGCAGTAAGAGCCTAACAAATAAAAAGTATTCAAGGGTGAACTACCAGTGACTATCACAATATAATTTCTTTAAAAGAAACATACATTCTAATATGAATAAACAGTAATATTAAATTTAAAATATCTGACAGATATTGAGCCGATATCTGACAATCACTCAGCCGAATACGCTGCACTCTGGCTGAATAATTTTGTACAGCTCCAGGGGCACCTCACACGAATGAGTTTTGATCACAGTTCCTGAGAAGGACATAAGAGAAAGAAAACAGAAAAGGTGCAAACAAAAGACCCGGATTTTGAAAGATCAAACACACCAGCAGTATATAAGCTTGGAACTGTTTAGTATCCATAATTTATAAAAACTAGATTTTAACAAAAAGTTATTTTTAAAATGGGGTTACAGTAAGTGATTGAAACCTCCATTTTAAAAACACTGAAAAATATTGTGCAGCAAAAATCTGACACAATTTAAAACACTGTTGTGGAACACTTACACACATGCACGGATACATATTTTCAAACTATTTCACTAGCAAAGCAAAAGGAATAATTCCTTTGATTTATTAAAAAGTAATTTATTTCACTACATTAATTTACACAGTTGCATATTTATTTGGTTTATCATACTTTTTTAAAATTTTTATTTTAAATAATTGCTTAAGTTTGCTGTTATTGCGGGAGGAGATAATTTTCTAGTGACAAATACTTTTATACATTTCTTTGCTAATAACTGAAAATTTAGTATGATCAGCAAGGTATTTTGACGTAGACAATGACTTTTGACATAATCCTTTAAATATTAGATTACAACTTCCAATATGTATAACAACAAACAGGTGATGAAGATAAACTGCTAGAGAGAAAAGAATGGTTCGTGGAACGTTGAGAACTGGTCTAAGCTGTATAGTTAAGCATAAAATTACGCAAAATAATGTAAAGGGATTTTTTGATCCAGAAGCTTCATATGATGCTGTGTGTAATGAGAAAAAATAAATTTTTGTTTAATTAGCACAGCATTTAAGCTATTATTGTACAAGGCAGCTCTTTATTTCGACAAAATATAAATAAATGAACATTTAACAATGGGTTTAAACAATAAGTTAAAACAAACTTAATCAATTTTGCCAATATTCGATGTTTCTGTTAGTCAACTTATTTCAACCCAAAAAATTACAATAGCAGTTTTTTCTGCTTCAGCATAAGACAAACAGCAACTATATATATCTGTACATATATATTTGACAAAATGGACAAAATTTGCTTAGACAAGAGTCTGACCTTACACTGAACTATATATATATATATATAATCTAAAACAGGAATTCCCAGTGGGTTCGATATTGAGCCCCCTTGGGATAGATGAAATTTTAAAGGGGGTCCATGATGATACTGGCAATTAAGCAGCATCATTGATTACAAAAAAATTGTTAATAAAATTTACAATTAATTGCTTATTGAAATAAAAGCTGTATCACATAGTAAAGAAGAAGTCGTATAAAATAAATGGTACTTTTCCGTTTCGGCGACGCAAATCCAGCCAAGCAGACTTTGTTGGCAACAACATTCAGCATACACATAAAAAATGTTAACAAATGTTAGTTCTAAGAATTTTTTATTTTGAAGGCATAAACATTTTAATATAATTTTGTAAAAAGCCAATGAATGAAGACAATCAATTTTGTAAAAAACATACATTAATTTAAGAATTTACTATGCTATCATGGTTCAACATCCTGATTCGCCGGTTTGTATCACGTGACTCCCACCTCACGTAAACTACACTATAAAAATATAATTCTCTCAGTAATTATCTACATTAATTTCAAGTTAAATCTTCATTTGGAATACAAGTTTAAATGCAAGAATTATTTCAGTTCATATGAATAGCTTACTCAGAAATTATGTAAAACCGTAGTGATTTACTTCGCTAGTGCATTCTCATTAGAATTGATGAATTTAACCCTTTATTTTGCCTTTTTTACATTTTCACCTTTGGGTGAGCGGTGTGATTGAATCCTAATTGACTTAATTACCACAAATGGTCTTAGGGAATACAATTTAATTATCTTTGGTACTTTTCCGTTTCGCCGGCGCAAATCTCGCCAAGCAGACTTTATTGGCGACAACATACAGTATACACATAAAAAAATTTTAACAAATGTTAGTTCTAAGAATTTTTTATTTTGAAGGCATAAACATTTTAATATCGTTTAAAATTTTGTAAAAAGCCAATAAATAAAGACAATAAATTTGTAAAAAGACATTAATTTAAGAATTTACTATGCTTTCATGGTTCAACATCCTAATTCGCCGGTTCATATCACGTGACCCCAAGTGATCTCATCTCACGTAAACTACGCTACAAAAATCTAATTCTCTCAGTAATTATCTACATTAATTTCAAGTTAAATCTTAATTTGGAATACAAGTTTAAATGCAAGAATTATTTCAATTCGTACGAATAGCTTACTCAGAAATTATGTAAAACTGCAGTGCTTTACTTCGCTAATGCATTCTTCATTAGAATTGATGAATTTAACCCTTGACTTTATCCTTTTCTATATTTTCGGCTTCAGGGTAAGCAGCTGTGATTGCATCCTAATTGACTTAATTACCGAAAATGGCCTTAGACATAAAATTGAACTATCTGATAAAAATTCTATGTAATTATAGTATGCCAGTATTGACAGAAACAATCAATCTGATAAGAAAAAGCTGCGACTTGTTTTGAAAATGTGGCATAAAAGCTTACCAGCGAGAATATTCCGTTTGCATCGGTTGTACTATTATTGGCGACTTTATCGCTTGCGCCGGCAAAACGGAAAAGTACCTTATCTTTGTAAATATTCTATGTAATTTTATGCCAGTATTGAAAGGAACAATCAATCTATAAGAAATGGCTGCGACTTGATTTGGAAATGAGGCCTAAAAGGTTATCAGCGAAGATATTCCGTTTGGCATCAGTTTTACTATTATTGGCGACTTTTATAGTTTGCGCCGGAAAAACAGAAAAGTACCAAATAAATATATGAAAAAAAACCCACTAGAATCATTAAATATATTTTTTTAATTAATAATTTTTTTAGATATATAACTTTTATGCAAAAAGTGCAATATGAAACAGTAAAATGCAAGACCCCACAATAATGATAAAAATAACAATAATGAATGCAAAACTAGAATAGAAAGCAAGAAAATGGTTGAATATTTTTGAAAAAAAATAATTTAAGAAATAAATTAAGCAATTTAATGCAAAATAGTAAAAAATTTGTATCAATGCATCAAATGCAGTCATTACATTAACTAAAATCGAATATCTATGCAATTACAGTCTGTGATTTTTTCTGAAAACGTGTTTAAATTTATAAAATTAAAAATTACAATAACACAATTAACTAACCATAAATTTAATAAACCATTTTTCAAAACTTCTCTTTACATTTTAAATCTAATTATTATATTCAAGTTATTTATGTGCAGCTATTTGTATTATGATTATACCGTATTCTATATATTACAAAGAAGGAAGGGATTTGGTGAAGAAAAAACCATTCCTTAAAAGAGGTCAGTACAAGAAAAAGGTAGGAAAACTTTGATCTAAAAGTTTTAAATTTAAATTTAATGCAGTCTTTATATAATATATTTGTTCTAAAGTAAAATTTGAAAAAGATTTTGTTTGTATATATTTACTGATACAGAGTCTACGTTTCATAAATCAAGAAATTACAAATTTAAGAAAATTAAAAAAAAGAAAAAAAAAAAAAAAAAAAAAAACTGGACATATCTAAACCACTATCACCCAATTTAACTTCACAAATGCTAGATAAACATGTAAATTGAGTCAATTCTAGATGATGTCCACTTATAATTTTCCAAAATATTTCATTGTATGTGGCCAGATTTTTAAAATTAATATTTATAGAACACAGAAAGTAAAAAATATTTTAAAAAAAATTAAATACCTTGAGTTTGCTAATTTCCATTTTTAAAGTTGCAATTTCAGCTTTTTTACTTTCAGCATTTTTAACAAGCTCTGATATTTGCTGCTCCATCTGGGCTTTCTCTTTTTCCATCTGCAAAATTGTTATGCAATTATTACTATTTTTATTTCTGCCCAAAGCAATTTTCACATTTTCCTTCTCCCGGTCTTTCGTCGCCAAATCTACACTATCTTTGCTCACTGCTCTTCTCATGTTACTACGTTTGAAAGTAGTTTTTCTAGAAGATAAATGGGGAGATGCTATTTGTAAATTGTTGATCAAACGAATCGGAGCAGTATCATTTTTCACACCAAGTTTAACTGCAGCTGGCACTTTCGCAGGAGCAGATATTTTTCTTCTGACACTAGTCCCAGTACCAGAAAGACTTTCTTGACTGCTTGATGCGCAGTTCGTGTTGGGTTTCGATAATGTAGATGTCTTTTTGAGATTAGTACTCACGGTTGATGATCTGTCATTCACAATCTTATTTCCACGAGGGGTGCTCAGAATACCTTGAAGGGGGTTTTTTGAGGCTGTGATATTTCCAGTCGGTTTCCCGCTCAAGGGCTTGTTGTTCTTCATGTTTCCCTTCGGGCACGCCGATGGCTGCAGCCCTCTCAGCATTAACAAGCTTTAAGTTTTCACCTGAAATATTAAAGAATAATTAAAATCATATTTTGAATAACAGCAGCACATAGAATGTATATTTTGTATTCAAAGAAATACCATTTGGAAATTTAAAAAAACACCATGCACTATCCATGCACTTTTAACACAAAAAATAAGATACAAATTTATAGCTGCACTTTATAAGCCAGATGTAAAAATGAGATTTAAAAATAAGGAAAAGATGAACATACAAAAATTTGATTTCTACATGCACCTAAATGCTATTTATTTAAATAAAAATGACATATCTTAAGAACTTAAAATTTTTCATTATCTGATATGAAAATTTCATCATATTCGTCTTCTGTTACATCTTCAGGCACATCATTGCAACACTGTTACTCTGATCCATAAATAAATAATCATTTTCTTTCCTTCTACATTGTTAGATATACTAAAAAAATTTTAATGACTTTTGAACTATGTTGAGTTTACAACATTTTGTCTACCTATTCTTTCAAGTGAACATGAATGAAAACACCATTTGCAAAATTACGTTTCAGTACTGTCTTTCTTTTAAAAATAATCATGGGCTTTAAAATTTGTACTGCCTGCTCTATGGTGAGGTGAGATTTTTCATTTTTATATGAACTGTTTTTGGTCCTTTGAGATCAAATGTTTTATTGCCTATCATATGAAACATTACTGGGATTTCACCCATATTTCCAATACGTGACAGTCAATAATTTTTTGCTTTTTGTAAGTCATTTCAGGTTTCTTTGTAAAGAAAAGGGTGCATATCATACAGAGAATAAACTTAAAAATTAAAAAATGTAGTTTGAAATTATAAATGCATGTTACATACCGGAATATCTAATATATGATCTCAAGAAGTGAATTTTATACATAAAAGCTCAGGTATTTCATAGGCCTTAAATATGAAAGGAAAAAACAAATGATCTCACTGTGAAATCCTGCCAAACATGGAAGTTAACGAAGATGTCACCAATCTTTCCGGCAGCAGTTTAAATGAACAGATTGTTCTTTATTTAGATATATAATAAAGAGATACAAATTATGGATACAGCATATAAAAGAACTAAATCACTAACAATTTCTGACATTACATCGCCACTGTTTATCCGCGTTCAAAGTTGCATAACATGACCTTTTTTACAACTGGCTGTAATTTTGAAAATACTCTGTTTTAAACTTTTCCAAATGCTAATCAATTATTTCAAAATGCGAGGGGAAAATAGAACTTACATCCTTCTTTAAAAAATTTAAACCAGCTTATCGAGAATTAATTGAGTTTACATTAAACAAAAACATACTTCTTATGATTGTGATGCGTATCTATTACTGGAGCTAAATCACACTGCTTGAAAAAAATTTACATGTGTTAATAATATGAGCTTTAAAATGATATTACAAATCTTTCATTTATTAAACTTCTACGGAAAAAATTTTTTTTTCTAAAATTCTAAAATTTTCGAATTACTTGAGCTTTCCAAATAGTCCTTCTTTTAAAATGTATTTATCTGGCCACCCAGTAATGGCAGCATTACTGGGTGGCCAGATAAATACATTTTTGTAAAATTCTGGGTTGCCTACCTTGGGCAACATAGCACTTTACCCAGTGATTCTTACTACTTATTATTGGGTGAATAATCAAAGATTACCCAATTTAATAACCTATTAAAAATTTTAATTCGATTAAACTTTAATTTCTTCTATTTTAAGAAATAAAAACAAGAGTGGCCCTGCGAGTTTATGAACAGCCATATACATTATGAATGTCATGCAATATGGCCAAAAAATAATTATTTTTATTAACAGATTTCCCCCATGCTTTTGTGATATGGAAGCTACTAAATAAAAATGATTACACTATTACCAAACCATTTACGCTTATTCATATGCAAAATACAATTTGGGATTACTTGATGAATATTTTGATTTAAACACAATATATTTCTGAATATACAGCAAATGATAAGACCTTGTTGCATAAAATTACAACCTGTATATAAGGCAAATATCAGCTGCACTATAAATCCAATTATTTACTGTCGACAGTTTATATAAATGGTTAGCTAAACAAATCAGATGTGCTTCCGATAAGTACCAAGTTCTCATCCATTTGACAAGTAAGACAAACCAATGTCCTGTAAGATATATTTAAATTTTAGGTACTTACATATTATTGTAACTACCTCAGTAGAATTTGCCAATTTTTCCAAAGTTGCCAAATTATGGCAATTATATACATAACAGTTCTTTAGGTAATCATATCCATTGTAAGTTGCAATCCGAAAATTCACGAAATCACCTTCTCCTTCTGTAAAAAATACCCAGGTGCGCCAAGGTGGTTGCGCTAATACATAAGTACATAATTTTATAACAGCTGTTTTAATTTCAAAGTCCCTTTCCTATCAATTCTTGTTTCCACTTACAACTTCCTACCAGAATGAGTTTTTAGAATCGCACTGAATGCAAATAAGATACAAGAAGTATTTAAGAAAGGTTCATCTTACTTTGTGAGAAAAAGCTAGGAATCCTGAATAGCGCATGTTTGCCTTTGTGCCAAGTCTACCTTGAAGCTGTTATGCTCGACCATATTATTATGTGCCTTTTGATATTTGCCAGCTAATTTAAATTAAGTGCCACCTAAGTTAGATACTTGCATTTAGCTTTGGCTAAGTCTCTTTTAGTTAGTTATACAGTCAAAAGTCGTTAATTCGGACACCCATAATCCGGAATGATCTATAATCCGGACCTCAAAGCTAAAAACTTTCTGCGCATAGGCGTTTATGTGTGCGCGTAAGACCTTTACGATAGCGCATATGCATGTGCGCAAGCGCAGAATACGTTTTCGCGTGCGCGTTTAATGTATAACGGACGGTAAGCTAAAATTATCTATTTCAGTTAATGTTGATGATTGCGTTGTTCCTTAATCTTCGAATTGGATGCACCTTATTATTTTTTGCAGACTGTAAGAGCTATTTTATAAAAGTAAGCTTGAAATTTCCATTATGTCAAATAGAATTTCCAATGCTGGAGCTCCCAAAGGATCTACAAAACGAAAGTATGTTTCGATGTCCATCAAACAAAAAGTGGAATTGCTGCAAAAAATGGATAAAGACATGAAGAAGGTGAGAGAGAGGTTAGTGAAAACTAAAAAATTTCGATTGACAAGTTAGTCGGTATTCTCGACACAGCAATTACGGGACTTGAACAGCAGAACTTTGTAACTGAACAAGAAATTATGTCTGTTTATAGAATTAAAGAGAAAGTATTATCACATAAAACGAAGCAACTTAAACAACTTACATTGAAAGAAATGTTTAATAAAGTAAACAAATAAATATTAAGCCTTTTTTTTTTGTAAATTTTGGTACCCTTTACATCATAATTGTTCTTTATTTCATAAATTACGGTTTCATATTTTTAATTTTAGAATTTCTGCATGCCATCTTACGAGATTTAAACTGATGATCTATAATCCGGAATCGCTGAAGTCCCGACGAGTCCGAATTAACGACTTTTGACTGCAGTTTAGTTTCTTATTCTGAGTTAAAGCCTGAGAAGCAGCTTTATTGTAAGCCTCAGAAAAAGGCTGACTGTTATTCTTATTAGAGTGAAATAAAGTGTATTTTAACCCTTCTCAAACTACGATTTACTTGTTTGAACTTAGCAATAAGTTGCTACACAGTCCATAAGTTCCTCGACGCTCATTTTAGACAAGAGGAGTGAGGCACCCTACAATCTGAATTATAAAATGAAGTTGCACAAGCAATGCAAGGACAGAACTGAGGATGATACTTAAGCACGATCAGCAAAAAATATGTATATATTACAGAATCCCCCCTTTTCCATGCTCTTAAAAAAATCTATAGAAACATCAAAAAAAGTTGTCCCCCCTAATTTTTTTTTTATTATTCATTGGCATGCCCTCTAGGTATTGCATTGTTCAGCACTGGCCAAATAATTCCCAAACATTATGAACAGTTCATAAATTAACTTTTACATTAAAAACTCTGTGTATAGTTCATAAGAAAATATTTTCCTGTTATTCATTAAAATGCTGTAAAAAACATATTTATATATTTCTGGTTATATTTACATTAAATTAACTAAATCTATTGTTAGTTTGAAGTCAATTTTTTTCTCATCCTTGAATGCTATCAAAATAGTCATGAACAAACATATCACATTTCAGCGCAATTTGCAATAATGTATAGTTCACTCATTCATTTACGAGAAAAGTCAATATACTCAAGTTAAACATTTTTTCAATATAAATGTTAATCATTTTTGATTTACCAAAATGCGAGGAAGATACTATATCTTTCTTCCAAGAAATATGCCCTTACCTTGCATATGAATATGCAAAAATTGGCATTAAATGAAACTTGATATAACGATGAAAACATTAGGAGGTATAACACACAAAGTGGCTATTGAAAGAAAAACACGTTTTTGACAACCAGTCCAGTGGTTTCAGGTCCATAAAATAGTGCAAGAAGCAACTTGTATTACTTAACTTTATTACATATGTCGCATATGTCAAACTACCATTGACAAAAATGGTTTTATAAGAGAGATGCGTTCTCTACATGTAATCTGACAATCAAATAAGGGTACTTACGTATTATATTACTTATTATGTATTGTGTAAGTTGTTTAAGTTGCTTCGTTTTATGTGATAATACTTTCTCTTTAATTCTATAAACAGACATAATTTTTTGTTCAGTTACAAAGTTCCGCTGTTCAAGTCCTATAATTGCTGTGTCAAGAATATCGACTAATTTGTCAATCAAAATTTTTTCGTTTTCAATAACCTCTGTCACTTTTCTTCGCTATCGGAAGCAAATTATAATGACGAGGAACTTGATTTAAATCATATCAAAAACGGAATACATCGAGATGAAATACTACATTGAGTAAGCAATTATAAGCCAAATAAAATGAAAACATCTGCCCTGAAGATAAGGATAGTGCTGACAGATCAACTTCTAATTCATTGTGCGCCGCGGCATTTCCCCCCGCCACAGTGCAGCGCGAAATTGATAAACAGATTTCGGAATGGTTAGGTCATTTTTTGCAGCAATTCCACTTTTGTTTAATGGACTTCAAAATATATTTTCGCTGTCTAGATACTTTACATATTAGTAAATATATATCGGAAATTCTATTTGACATAATCGAGAGTTCAAGCTTACTTTTATAAAATTACTCTAACAGTCTGCAAAAAATAATACGCCGGATCCAATTCGAAGATTAAGGAACAACGCAATTTGCAATATTAACTGAAATAGATAATTAGATAATTTTAGCTTAGCTTATACCGTCCGTTATACATTAAACGCGCATGCGTAAACGTATTTTGTACATGCGCACATGCATATTCGCAGCCGTAAAGATCTTACGCGCATGCGTCGTGCATAAACGTATTTTGTGCATGCGCACAAGCATATTCGCAGCTGTAAAGGTCTTACGCGCATGCGTCATGCAGAAAGTTTGTAGCTTTGAGGTCCAGATTATAGATCATTCCGGATTATGGGTGTCCGAATTAACGAATTTTGACTGTAGTTATTGTTGTACGTTTTCTAGCATTTTGAAAAACAAGTTTCTGGAGAACAACAAGCAATGGAAATTTTTTAAACTTGTATCTTACCATCGAGAAAAAGTGGGTACTTGTCTGTTATTGGGATTATATTCAGAAATGTATGTATGCATGCATGTATATTTGAATATGTCTCTTTAGATGAACATATGCATACATATGTACATATTTGCACACATACATTTCTGAATCCGCTCGTGATAACAGAAAAGTACGGTTAATCTTTGGATTATGATAACTTGGCAATTTTTTGGCGACCAACCCTGCTACAGCAACCTGCTAGTTTTTGTTTGGACGTCATTTTGTTTTCACGAAGTAAAGGCCTTTTTTTTTAAACTCCACATTTTTTTACAACTATCTGCTAGCCGAATTACGCTTATGCTAGAACTTTTACGGAACAAAAATGCTTAATCATGACAAAGATTAGGTGCGAAATTGGGAAAAAGTGCAGAATTGCAAATTGCTTGCCGCATTTTTAAGAATTGCACATACATGGTATCCATGTACACATCGACCTATTTTCACTTAAAAAAACATCCCAGAATTGCACAAAAATGGCACTGCGCACACTCTTGACTTTATCCATGTACACTGCTAAAGTCCTAGCTAGTAACCTTTACGCCTTACCAAAATGTCGCCAAACTACCTGTTACCATATTCCAAAGATTAACCAAAAGTACTTACAGTGAGTATTAATGGGCACTACCTGGCTAGATGAAAACTGCCAATACAACAGCGGTAGAGTGTAACACACTGTAAGTACCTTCTGGAAGCTTGCACAAAATACACAATTAACAAGTCCTTTTATGTGGCGCAAAAATAAAGTGGGTCGAACATTGATTGTTTATAAAATAAAGAGGAGTTGCTTCCTTCAGAGTTTCAGAGGAACGATTGATAATACTTTGACAACATCTCCATCAACTTTCATAGTTTGATGGTAACTAATTTATACAGTCAACACAAGATACACAAGTAATCAAAGAAATAAACAGAATCAGCAAATAGACATGAATTTAATGATAATTTTGCTGTTTAAAAAACAGAGGTCACGATAATAAGGAAGTACTGATATTTTTGTGTTATTTATAACAGTAGAATGAAAACCATTTTATTTTAAAGAGTAAAAATCGATGAAAGATAATAAAAGATTATTTTTTCTTTCATCAGTATAATGTTTAGGATAATTTGACATTTATGAGATATCTATGAGATCTAAATGCATTTCAAAAAGTATTAGATGGCTATTAACACAAGCACAGCACAATGTTACGAAAGCAGTCACTGTAATCAGTCACCAAAACTAGACAGCTTAATTACCAATTTATAAAGTGCAACTTTTAAACATTCGACTGTATAAAATATCTGTACGTTTTACATATTCATTGTGTACAACAGCTGTTTTAATACTGAAGTACAGAAAATGCATTAAAAAATGCACATTGCTAACATAGGTTATATTTTAGTTGTCTATAATAACATTTACTATAAATAACTATGTACTAAAAATTACAACTTTTTTAACCAAGTTTCATTCAAATTACAAAGTTAACATTCAAATAATTAAAGTTACATAAATGAAAAATTTAAAGTGCAATGTCAGCTTGAAAATAAATACCTTGCAAACTGCTTCTTTGCATGACATTACAATGATTAATACATTTCAAGAAGCTTCATTCATGAAGCAACTTCATTTATTTCAAGAAAACAGTAAAACGATCAGACAGAATAAAGGTAAACAGCAAAGGATTTTTCTCTCTTGAAATTTATCAAGCTTTTTCAATCCTTCATATTATACAAAGACAGAATTTCGACAATTATTTATTGACAAATACAATCAATTTTCTCTGGAACAGTTGGTCAAAACTGCTGCTATTCAGAAATACATCACAAAAAAGGATGAAAAAAAGCCAATAAAAATGGAAGAATACTTTTATATGACATATACATGAGACAATATTTTTAAATTACAGCATTTTATTTATTTTTTAAGTTCATTTGACTGTGTACCCTTGCTGTATCTACCATGAAATAAAAAGCATAGAGAAAAATTAATGACAATTAAAATATTCACCACTATGTGAAATCAACTTTATGACATAACTAAACAAATTTTATTATATATCCTAAAGTTGAAATTGACTTTAACTAATTTAAAATGTACTTATGTGACGAAGATATATCAAATAATGAAAGTTAATCATAAGGATATTATGCAACAACGTTTAAAACAGGACTTGCGTAATTTATTTACTGTTCCATCATGTATAATTGGAAAAAATGATTCACGAGGATAAAATTATCTAGCAGCAAATACCTTCAAATACGAATACAAGAGTCAGATTTAATAAATAAAAACAGCTGAAAAAAATTACACTGGAGAATGTGGTTTATCTCTTGAAAATGATTAATATTTTTGAAAAACTACGAAAAATATTGCTTGACATAGTAAAAGTCTTAATAATGACAGAAATTAATAATTATATTTTAGCAATAATTATTGAGGAAACAGCTTCTCTCTCTCGCAATCATTTGTATAACAAATTTATGGATTAAAAGGTATTGAAAATTTTTGAAACGCGCTTTAATAAACAGTTAAACGTGATTTGTTCATAATTTTTAAACATGTACTTGTGTCTTACGGAAGACAAATATAATTCTGCACGTAACTTGCTATTCTACTAACGCTTCACAAAATCAAAACATTGCAAAACAATCATGAGAAAAAGAATAAAAATAACGAACAACTAACGTCCACACATGCAGAGACGAATTTCGGATTTTAATCGATAACATTACGATATTCAAACTATAATGTAATCGATTATGTTACAGAAAACCAGATTCATTCTTAATAGTATTTCTATATTAAAATTACAGAAATCGAAATTTTTTAATCTTCTGTGTTAAAACGGAGCATTATCATAATCATTTTAACCATAGAATACAACTATAAAAAGCTACGGCTGATAGAGGTTATGTTTTCCCAGGAATCAGTTAAAAATACTGCATGTCAAATGGGAAGGTTTTAAACATTTGACGTCAGACTGCTAGCCAAACACAGAGGAAACGCTTCACAGAGACCATCCGCGCCTTTTTCTGCGTTTCCGACCAGTCGTACAGATGCTTGGTTTATTTTCGCATTGCCTATGCTTTGGTGTTTTTTTATGCTTTGGTTTTGTACGCCTGCTTTGGCTTTTTGACATATGTACTAAAAAGGATAAAATTATTTTGTTTTACTGAATAATGGTTGTCATCTTTGACAGTTCATTTATACTGCCTATGGGTAAGGTTATAGATTTGATTTTTGGATGTATGGAGATGAAATAAGAGAGAAAATAATTTTATTATTTCAGTTTAATGAATAATTGTTGTTATTATTTGAAATATATCTAAAACTTAATATAACGAACTATTTATTTATTTCATGTTAAAACTATATTTACTTTAATTTAAATTGTACTTTTAAAAGTACTCTGCAATTTTTATTCAATTGTTAAATGAATATTTTATTCCCCCCCCCTCTTTACTTTTTTGTAGTTGAAAAGAATAAAGTTATTTTATTAAAACAACTACAGCCAACTCTTTAATTTTAGCTTAGAATTGAAATTGAAGAGATGGAGCGGGAAGTGATAGAAAATTATAATAATGCAGTAGCGTGGCTAGAATGTTTGCCGCCTGGGGCGGACTCAAAGTTTCCCGTTTAGGATGATTCCTGAATTTACTGTCCCCCCTCTTAATATAATAACAAATAACTACAAAAAAATGACAAAATGACATGCATGGAAATAAATTTAAACTCAACGTTAATTTATAAAGAAAAATTATTCCAATATTTTAAAACTGAATACTTTCCATTATTAATTAAATTCCAATATTTTATAATTAAATTATTATTTTGCTTGACTTTTTGTTCGCAAAACTATCTATATGGCATTGGAGTTGCTTTGCTTACACTTGTTGTTATATGCACACAAAAAGATTTCTTAAATGTAAAATACATATTTGTAGTTCTTAAATACTTCTTAAATGTAGCAACGCTTACCGCAATTGACAGGAAAATTCACAATAATACTACAAGATTTGGAGCTTTTTCCTGTAGATTCTATTTTAAAATACACTGCAGAAATACAAAAAGACTGTGTCTATTTTCCTGTTTCGATTTCTCTAGCAATAACGGAAAATAAAATTCTCAAATATTTCTTTCTTAACAAGGAATTTTTCCTTATGAATGTCACAGTGATCAAAATTTAACATATTGTTGCGTGCGTACGGGTTCGTTATGAAATGAATGCACAAGTCCGATGAAAAATGAATAAAAATTTATTATTATTACAACAAAAATGCTTAAATTTTCTCAAATTATCATGCAGTATTACAATATCTCACAGTAGTTATCTTTTAACTACTCAAATATCCAATAGAACGTAATTCAAAACAGCTAAAGAACGCTAATCCGCGAATTCGCTATAATCAACAACAGTAGTTTTTCTAAACAACAACAAACTAAGCAACTACTACAAACTGAGATGTTTTCCTCCTTTTATAAGATTTTAAAATCACGCGCTAGAATTTTCCAGTACTTTCTCGAAATCAAAAAGAGATATTTATTTATTTAAAACACGCGCTCTTGTATTTTCAATTTTCCGGCTTAGCTTTCTTTTAATATTCGTCACGCGCTGCACTGCGCGAGAAATAAAACCATTTAATTTATAATTGAACTAACATTAGCTTTTTAAATACCAAATTCGTAACAATATATTTGTAATTTGCATTCAAAAGTTTCAATGGAATAAAAATCGTGTATAAAAAACAGCATGTTGCTATTGAGATCACGGGGTGATTTTTTTAAATATTTTATCGAAGATGAACACTACTTTCTTTTAAATTTAATTCTGTGGCACATGTTCAGGCATCAGTTCAGAATCTGATTATTCTTCACCTGCCTCGAATATATAATTATGCTGATATTATTAATACATGCCAATAGAATTAATATCATTCTATCATAAAGAAACGCCAAATGAGTAACTTATTAGAAATTAAAAAAAAGAAAAAAAAAAAGATGCAGGCGTACATATTTTTCCCCCAAAGTCGGATCGCTTACGAATGAAGCTTGCAACAAATATTTCCCTCCGGTGGCAAAATCTTTTGTTTTGTCAGCACACGAAATTCAAGTAGTCACACCAATAACCCTTCTTTGAAGTGTTAAATAGAAAAATTTTAAATAAGAATTGAAATGCAATACTTAATATCCACTCGCATGTTTTCCTTGCTTTCTCACAAATGTGTCTTTAAGTTCAGTTCGAGACTAAAATAAAAAAGGTTATGTAAACTTTTTCTGTACTTTGTGAGTTGTTTAGGAAGTACCGATAACTCGCTATAGTTTAGTCAAATCTGCAGGACTTAAACTCTAGCTTCCAGTTACAATAACAACCCTACAAATGAGTAGTCCAAATGAACAGCAGCGACCGAAGTTGTTAGTTTTAAAATAAATCAAGGTGTTTCTTCTGCTGTTTCCAATAATAAATTATCAAATTTAGATATACCTTTACCATATTACAGTGCAGAGATTCTCAAATGATATACCTTAATTTTTAAAGTAACAAAATAACATGTAAAATATTCAAACAAATAATCAATAAAATAAAATTAAGAAACATTAAAGTCTTTGGAACTAGTTCTAAACCCAGTGGTCATTTGGAACAAATGTAACAGACAGCCTAAAACAAATTGTTTTTTAACTAATTAGCAAATTTTATTGACAAAATAAAAAGCATTTTAAATACATTTTAAGTTTCGCTTATTAAATATTTTTCAAATCTAAATATAAACAATAATAACAATGTTACAAAAATTCAAATACAAATATAGGACAGAAAAAATCGAATACATATTTGTTTTCTGAAATCTAAAGTTTGGTACCTGTGGGATATTTTTGTTGTTTACACTTTATAATTCAAATAAACATAATTAAAAAGCACTATTATTAAATACTTATACTGACATTTCTTTCAAATAATTCTAATATGTTTAGTTAATAATTAAATAACTTACTTTAAGTTAAAAATAAATAAACTATGAAAACTTTTTAAGTAGCCTTTGAGAATAAATAAATACAGCCCATTTCCCTTTCTTTTATTTATTAAATTTTGCTCCGACAGGAATACGTAAAAAATATATACATTTGTACGGAAACCATTACAAACTTCTTATTATAACTTTCAACTATAACACTTGATGACGCTTGTATTTCAGTAAAGTATGAAGCCTTGAGGGAAAATTACTAGAAATTATCTTCACTACAAATTGTAGATGCTTATTTGTGAATTTGATTCTTTTATTAGACTTACGAATTTTTAACTGCACAGAAAACTTTTCACTTTTAAACAAAGGCGATTATTCTTATGGAAAAAACTCGTAACTGATATATATCTTTGAACAAGTACTAATAAAAGTTGATCAAATCTGCGTCTTCAAGTCTTTGAATGAGATTTATAACACAGTGAAATTTAATTAGCTTTGTAACGGACGCTATCAAACAGCCTCATGCACTGCAGCGCCACCTTATCGGACGCTATTTCAAACCCTACGCCGAACTATAGAACTATGTATAGTTTTAGTTTCCAGGGACTATGACATGACGCCCATTTGAGTATATTTCTGTGTTACTTCTTGTTATTTTTGCAGTAACTTTCTAATGTAGGTTTGTGTGTAATTAAATTCCTTTGTTAAATGTTAAAGCTTGTCTGGTGTAATTTTACAGGTTGTTTAACAACTTTAGCTAGCCCGGTCACAACGCTACATAAAAAGAAAGGCGCCCCAACGGTGGGCTCGCTTGAAAATTTAAATTTTTTAAAAAATAAAAGTCTTACTCTTTACCGAAACTCGAGCTCAATTTTTTCTTCTAGCTCTCTAGCTTTTCTGGTCTATGAACAATTCGAATATCTATTTCGAAATATGAAGGATTAATCCAAAGTCCTTGGTTTTAGTGTGAAGCAGTTTACACAGGTAGAAGATTTTTTTATGTAAAATTTCATTCATTGTGATGGTTTAACATAGAGTGAAAGTCTATTTTATTTTATAAATATTTAAGTGTTAACCGAAACATTACTTAACTGAGATTGTATTTTTATCACATCGGAAGTTAGAAGGTGTTAAATTATATTATCACAACCCATGATATTTCAGTTATGAGAAAATAAATACAGTGTCTCAAAAAAGTGATGGGACACTTGTGCTTTACAAAAGGAAACTGCAATAAAATAAATTTAAAAAACATGTAAAATTTTTTGTGGGTGTGTTTCATACTAAATTTAGTAACAATTATTACATAACATACATTTTCTCAAAATATTAAATATTAATTTAATAAAATACAATTGTTTATAACGGAGCAGAAAATGGCTCACTTAAGTGATGGGACACTTACTTTTCCATCAAATATTTATCCAAAAACTTTAGTTTTTAAAAGGTTTTAATATTTTTTTTGATTTCCTTTTACTTTTAAAACATGATTTAATCTTCTTGGGATGGATTCACTAATTTTTTTTTTGTGATTTCTGGAGTGATTTTACCCCATTCTCTTGAAGCACCGATTTTAATTGTTGTTTTGAAGAAATGGTGTGTTTTAGATTCTTGATTCCAATTCTTGCCAAATATTCTCTATGGGATTTAATTGTGGAGATTTGTGGGGTGTTTTTATTATTTCAGGACAGTTATCAGCAGCCAGAGTCTAACATTCAAAGCACAAGCACTGTGCTTGGGGTCATTGTCCTGGTAGAATTTAAAATCGTTATGAAGGTTCAATTTTCGTGCTGAAGATTTGAAATTTTGATTTAAAATGTCAATATAACTTGTACTGATCCATTATACTTTCAATAAAAACAAGATTACCAACTCCAGCGGACGACATACACCCCAATACCATAACTCCTCCTCCACCATGTTTTACTGTTGGCACCAAGTTCTTTTTCGAAATTCTTCCTGGGTTTTCTCCACACCAAGATTCTACCGTCAGAACCAAATTATTAAATTTACTCTCATCAGCAAATATAACTTCTTCATTCAGTAATCAGGATTCTTATTTATGTTGGATTTTGCGAAAGCCAGTCTGAGTTTTCTATTCTTTTCACTTACGAAGAATTTTTTTTCCTGGCTGCTCTCTATACCGTGATACCAGTAGATCGAATTACTCTTCTAATCAGGATTAACAATTACTCCATATAATGCTTGTAAATCAGCAGCAACTTTAGAGCACTCATTCTTGGATTTTTTTTTAATATTTCGAACGATAATTCGCTTTATTCCATTGGATAGCTTTGATGGTCGGCCAAGTCTTCTTTTATCCTGAATCATATGATTCTTTTATATCATTTAATGATATTGAAAACTGTTGATGACTGAAGATAACTGTTTCAGTAGTTTCTCTAATAGATTTTCCACGTTCAATATGCAAATTAATAACTAATTTTCGAATTTCCAGGCAAAGTTTCTTTTCGTTTAGCATTCATGGCTGCACAGAGCTAAAAAACACAAAACTTCCAAAACAACTGGAGAGAAATACTGCAGAGGATTTTTATAATTATTGGAAATTGCTTTTGAGTAAAATAAATACCCCAAAAGATATTTTTATTGCTTACTTCAGACGATTTTTTGTTGCATATACGTAGTGTCCCATCACTTAGCCATTTTTTCTGCTCCCTTCTAACAATTGTATTTTTATTAATTAATATTTTAATATTTTGAGAAAATGTATGTTATGTAATAATTGTTACTAAATTTAAGTATGAAACACACCCCACAATGTTTTTATTTTTTTTATTATTTTATTGCAGTTTCCTTTGTAAAGCGCTAGTGTCCCATCACTTTTTGAGACACTGTATGTATCTTTAATATATGGTACAATCCGTATTTTTTTTAAAGAAAAAGAGCAAAGTAGTTCTTTGTTATGTTATTAAAATGTTGTAGCAATATTCATATTTGCCATTAAATTGTTATAAGTTTAAAGTTATTCTATCTGTTAAATTTATAATATAACTGAAAACAAACTTTGCTTTTGAATAAGTTTTTAATTTTATTCCATCTAAGAAATTGTTGCCAAATAAAGATTTGTCCTTGAACAAAAGATGTCCTCGTAAATAATCTTATTTAGAATTTGTGTCGTATTAATTTCTTTCACTTCATTTTTAAGGTGAAAGATTAATGATGTTGGCAACTCATAAACTAGTATGGTAAATAAAAAATATTTTTATACGAATGTGTAAAGAGTAATATATGATTAGAATTCTGTGAATTTTGATATTGCTTATGTGAAATTTTTGAAAGTATATTCCATTGCTATTAAATTAAACCCTCATTGCTTAAACGTACATATAATTAATGCTAAGGATTGAATTTGATTCTTATATTTGGTCATACTGTGTTACATTTTAAATATTTACTGTTGAAATTATTTCTAATTTTTCAAGATATATGTATATGCATACAAGAGCAATTTTGTTTAAGAAATTTCTGATTACAAAGGTGTTGTTATTGTGCATTTTGTGTTGAAAATATATTTAAAAAATATTAATATTTCTTTATTGTTCTAAGTTGTTACTGAAGATATATTCGAAATCAAAAAGATATAGTAAATTTTAATAGTTTTCCTTTTCCTATTCTTACAACTTCTGCCAGTGAACAATATTAAATTAGATTAGAGACTTTTTCAACTATTAAAAAAAAAGATAAAAAAAACTTTACATAAATCCCCTTCGAGATGGCGTATTTAGGCAAAGGCCGCAAAGAGGACCTTAAATTACTAGCTTTAGAGCTTGGATTACAAGTTCGCAGATAACTTAAAAGTTGTGCAATTGAGAGATCTGATAACGAGTTCTAAAACCTATGATGAAGAATTTACAAAAAATATGTTAAGCAATATAATCGATGATCGCGTAAAAGCCGAAAAAGAAGCTGAAGATAGGGCTGAAAAAGAAGCAGTAGAAGCAAGATTAGCCAAGGAACGCGAGTTTGAATTAGAAAAGTTTAAACTCCAACTTGAAGTTAATAAGAATATGCCAAAGGAATCTGTTTCTCAAGTAGATCAGCCTAAATTTGATTTGAGTCGCATTCTTCCAAAGTTTAACCCAAAGGAAGATGAGATAGGACTTTATCTGACCATGTTTGAGCGTCAATTGAAGTTCGTAAATATACCTGAAACTGATTGGATCCCATACTTGATTGGATCATTACCATCTGAAATAAATCAATTAGTTGTTAGAGAAAACGAAGAGGATTCTAAAGATTATGCAAAAGTAAAAGCTATGCTTTTGAAGCGATATAGACTCACAGCTGATAGGTTTCGACAAATGTTTTCTCAGCATAGAAAATCTGCAGAAATTACATGGAAGGACTTTGCTTTTGAATTGAAATCTTATTTTGAAGGATGGATTAAAGAATTGAATATCTCTAGTTTCGAGCAGCTACAAAACTTGATCATTGCAGATCAAATAAAGAAAAGAACACCTCCCGAGGTAAGAGAACATTTTGTGGACAGTTTATCAGAAATGAACAATCCGTTCGAGCTCGCAGAAAAGCTCGATTATTATGAAAATGTAAGACTTGGCATGAAGAAAAATGGATCTTCCAATGCAAAGTAACCATATTGTAAAGAAAATGTTAAATTTGTCCCAGAAGGAAAATCTAAAACTAGTAATCCTAAAAGCGTTAACCAGATTAAAAATACAAACGTTGACAATTCAAAATTTACTAGTTCTAGACAAGAAAGGAAAACTTCTATTCATTGCTATGGTTGTGGATATCCCGGTTTCATACAATCAAAGTGCCCTAAGTTTAATAAGTTAAAAGAAGAAGTTAAAACTGTCGTCAATTGTGTAAAATTGTGTGCAGTTGAATCATCCGATCTACTGTCCAGTTCCATTTTTTTAACTGTTTGTGATGAAAAAGCAGCTTTTTGCGCTGATACAAGAGCATCGAATTCTATTGCAGGAGAAAGATTTTATAAGTTGTTACGAGATTGGATTTGGATTTAAAACAACAAATATTACGATGGTACTAGCTGATGGCAAGGAAAGAAATGTCCAAGCTTTGACTACAGTGGTAAATCTTAACGTTGAAGGAAAGATAGTCCGTATGAAATTTATTGCTTTGCCAAAAGCAAAAGGTAACAGGACGTTACTTGGAACTGATTTTCTACAGGTTGCGGGAATAGTGCTCAACATCCAGAATGGCACTTGGTATTTTAGTGAAAATTCCCAGAAACAGTATCCCTTTTACAAAGAACCATCTGAAACTAAAGAGACTCCAAACGTACTAACATCTTTGAAAGTAGCATCTCCAGAAACAAAAATGTCTGCTGACACTCCTGTTGCAATAACGGAAGCAACCGAATCCGTGAAGTTGAGAGATGATGAAGGAAAACATTTGACGAGAGAACAACGGAAGAAATTAAATTCATTGTTAGAAGAATATAAAACTAGCTTTCAGCCAGGGGGAGAGCCTACTCCTTATATTGAGCACAGAATCCAGACCGGAAATAATTTACCTGTTGCCGAACCACCATATAGAATGACACCCGCGCGAAAAGAGTTGTTAAAAAAGGAGCTAGATTCCTTACTAGCTCAGGGTATCATTGAGGAATGCGAATCACCCTATGCGAGTCCTGTTGTGTTGGTCCCTAAACCTAATGGTTCCATCAGACTGTGTATAGATTATCGAAAATTAAACTCCCAAACCGTTCCAGATACCTATCCATTACCAAGAATGGATGATTTGCTAACTGAAGCAAAATCAACGAAATACATGTCTACCATTGACCTAAGAGCAGGTTATCATCAAAAGTTCATGAAGCAGATCAAGAGATAACTGCTTTTGTTTGTCCATTTGGTACTTTCAAGTTTTTGCGAATGCCATTTGGGTTGCGGAACGCGCCTGCAACTTTTCAACGACTTATTGATAAATTTAGATCAGGATTAACAGATGTTTTTGCATTGTCATATCTCGACGATATCATAGTGTTATCAGAAACCTTTGATAAACATTTATCAGATTTGAGGAAAGTGTTTGAAAGACTTTCTGTGGTTAAACTAAATGCTAACAGGAGCAAATGCCATTTTGCTTGTGACAGAGTGAAGTATTTAGGTCATTGGATTACAGAAGACGGTGTAGAGGTAGATGCCGAGAAAGTATCTTCCTCCATTCAGAAAATTCCTAAACCAACATGCGTAAAGGAAGTTCATTCAGTCTTTTCCTACAGACGTGTTCCTGGTTCCGAAGATATGTCCCTAATTTTTCAGAAGTTTGCTAGACCCCTTAGTGACTTAACCAAAAAGAATAAACAGTGGACATGGGGTGAAACCGAACAAAAAGCATTTGAAGAGTTGAAAAAAAAAAGGTTGATTTCACCGCCTGTGTTATCTCAACCTGACGGAAATAAACCGTTCATCATTAGGACAGATGCCAGTAATTATGCTTTAGGAGCAGTCCTTATCCAAGGAGAAGGCCCAGAGGAACGTGTGATTGAGTATGCAAGTCGATTGCTAAGCTCAGCAGAAAGAAATTATTCAACTACCGAAAGAGAAGCTCTTGCAGTAGTTTGAGCTCTTGAGAAGTTCCGCGGTTATATAGAAAACCAACAAAAATTCCGCGGTTATATAGAAATAATAATTGCATCTGACCATCAACCTCTTAAATGGCAAATGAGTATTAAATCACCATCTGGTCGTTTGGCTCGATGGGCCCTTCAAATCCAGTCATATCATCCAAAAATTGTCTACACTCCAGGCAAATCCAATGTTATAGCAGATCTTCTTTCTAGACCATCTTATGCAAATAATGACTTTGTTTGTGATTTAAATGCTGTTTCTATAGATTTACCATCCCGGAAATCTAAAGACATTCGTGAGGAACAAATGAAAGATGAAGATGTAAGGAAGATTATAGATTGTTTTGAGAGTGGCAAAAAAGATGAAAATTATGTAAATTGGAGTTTTGTATCGTTACTCTTTCGACACAGACTCTGAAGAGGCTCAGTTAGTTGTCCCTTGTCAAGAGCGAGAACGAGTCCTACAGCAGTATCACGATTCCCCCACTGCAGGACATTGTGGAGCTGAAGGCACGTACCATAAGATTGCCTCCAGGTATTACTTTCCTGGTATGAGAAAGTATATCTCAGAATACGTGAAAAATTGTGCTGAGTGCAATCGGTATAAACCAAATAACCAGAAACCTGCTGGATTACTTCGAACACCTGTGTATGCACAAAGGTTTGAAACACTTGCTATAGACCTTTTTGGCCCACTTTCAGAAATTCCAACTGGGAAAAATGGATTTTTCTTATTGAAGACACCAGTACGAAATGGATAGAGCTCTTCGCCTTGGAAGAAGCCACTGCGAAAAATTGTGCAAAAATCTTAATTGAAGAAGTTTTTTTACGTTATGGTTTACCCAGAAGGTTGATTAGTGATAATGGCACACAATTTGTTAGTGCGGTAATGCAGCAAACCTGTAACTTCCTTGGTATTAAACAAGAACTTATTCCTGTTTATCACCCTCAAGCAAATCCCTCCGAACGAAAGAACAGAGATTTAAAACCCAAACTAGCTATACTAGTCGGTGATGCTCACGATACTTGGGAAGAAAAACTGCCCATGATTCGTTTTGCCATGAATACAGCAATATGTGACACTACAGGTCATACCGCTGCTTATTTGCAATTCGGAAGAGAACTTAGGACGACGGATGACGTTAATCACGATTTAAGAGCACTTATTGAAAACGACAACTTTGTTGCTGAAATTACGCCGTATCTGAAAGAATTCGCTCGTTTGACACCTCAAATTAGGGAGCGTGTCGAACAAAAACAAGACAAAGGAATACTTTGATAGAAGACGTAGACAAACTTACTATCAGCCTGGTGATAAAGTATGGATAAAGTATATACATCCAATCAGTAAATCCATACATAAGGAAAGTAAAAAATTTATGAAGCGCGAAGGTCCTTATCTAGTGATTACTAACAGATCTCCCACAACATATTGCAGATGACATTGCAGATTCTGCTACTCTTGATCAAGTGTAAGATACTTATCATACCAATATGATGAGACCATATAAACTGCCTCCATCGAAAGACCTAGGTTCTGTGACTCCCATAAGGAAAAGAGGCAGACCTAGCAAAATTGAACTGTCGAACACAGACTCTTTGCCGGGACGTCGTCAGAGCCCGAGGGGGAGTCTGTAACGAACGCTAGCAAACAGCCTCATGTACTGCAGCGCCACTTTATCGGACACTATTCAAAACACCTACGCTCGAAATATTTAGTTTGAGTTTCGGCAGAGGACTATGAACATGAACTTTTTATTTTCATTTGAGTAATATTTCTTTGTGTTACTTCTTGTTAGTTTTGTCATGTAACTTTCTTTATGTAGTGTTTGTGTTTAATTAAATTCCTTTTGTTAAATGTTAAAGTTTGTCTGGTTTAAATTTTACCAGTTTTGTTTAACAACTTTACAGCTAGCAGTGGTCACAACGCTTCAGCTTCATTTTTCGATTTTATGGAGCGAAACTAATTTGTTTTAACTGATAATGAAAAAAATGCAAAATTGAGCCTCGTATCATTAAAATTTTAAACTTTTTATTGTAATAATGATGATGATAATAATGCCAATTACGGGAAATGTATTCCAGGGCCGTGTAAATTTGTTTCGGAGGCCACCAGTTTCAGACCATTGATTTAACCAATTAATTAGCTGTGCGGTGTAACTATAACTAACTCCAGCTTTATGGCCGCTGTGACATCAACTTCTGATGCACATGAAGCTATTTAGGAATCAGTAAAATACTGTAATAACACAATAAAATGCCATTTTATGCAAAGAAATATAGTATGTGCAGTTATAAGGTCTCCCACTTTCCTAGCCTGTTTTCGTGGTGTAGTGGTTCTGTAAGCTGGGCCGGTTTTTCAGAGGTCCGTGGTTCGATATCCGGCGAGGGCGATTGCTTAGCCCCTTCGCGCCGGGTAGCGCAAACGCGCGCTTATCGTATCGCGGAGGCCGGCAGTGTCTTACACGAGCGTCTGTCCAGGGCCGGGGGCTTTTTTGCTACTAAGCCTAAATCCATGAAATTTCCGAAGTATCAACGCATTGTTTAATAATGCTCTATAGAGTATTTAAACGGCTTATGCTTTATAGATATTTTTATATTATATATTTTAATTACCTTATTTCTTTTTTAAATGCATATTTTACACACTTTATTTTCATTACTCACCATTTTATGACTTTTAACATTCTACATCTGAAAACTAAATATATTACTTAAAATCCTCTTTTCGTATTAAAAAATTTGAAAACAGGGATCTACACACAGTCCTACGTTACATTCCTTGCACTCATAATAACTCATTTGCCGTTTTGGAGGATTTTTCCGGGAATGTGAACAAACGAAGCATCGTCGTCTCATTTTCTTATCAGTGTCTTCTGAACAAAGTTTTGGAATATGTCTTTCAATTACTCTTTCAGAATCAATATCAGAATATCAGAATTTCAGAATCAATATCTGAAATATTTTGCATCATTTCTGCTATTTCATGCTCTGTTAAACATTTTCGACGCTTCGACATTGCAACGGTAAAAACAAAAGAATTCACGTCCAACATGATCTAATTATTTTATAAAAACTGAACTGCAAACCTGCAACTGAACAAACTGCGATTTAAAGAGACGTCATAAATCACGCTATTCGGAAAAATTTATTTCCCCGTTTGTTTATATAATCAAAAACATGTGTATGTGAGTCATGCTTCTCTAATTTCGAGTAGAAGGTCTAATGTGCATGTATATGAAACCATATGGACATACAGTGCCATCTTGTGGCAGAAATTATAGTTTTTCAAACGTTCTAGGACGTTGGCACAAATACGTGACAGTCGGTAGTGAACGGGAAAATGCTCTGGCACGCCTGCGTGTCGGCCGGGAGGTGAGTGTGTTCGTTGCTGGCACGTAGACGTGACAGTCGGCGCGAAGGGGTTAGTTTTCATCTCACCTGCTTCCAAAAAATGTCTCTACAGTGGCGCCCGAACTAAAAGGTTGTTGGATGAGGTTTCCCCACACCTAGGATTTGGCGATTGGGTCCCCTAAAAACCCGGCCGATGCTATTCGCACCAGCGGTGCGATTAGCCGCTTGAGCTATTCGCACGAACATTAACCACGCATGCGCATTGAGTTGTCGGATCCAGCATTTGAACCCAATTGAAAAGAACGGATTGTACCGAGGAGGTTAGAATTCTAACCTCCTTGGATTCTACGCACGCAAACTGTCCTAAGTGTTGTAGTGAATCTCTCTCTCTCTCTCTTTTTTTTAAAGGCGGGTTACGTATCATTGGTGTAGTTTATCAATCTTTTAAGCGTTGGCCGACTTTCAAAAGTTTAGAAAGGAAAATGGGTTCCTTTTCTTTTATATATTAAAAGAAGGAACGCATTTCCTTTTATTAAAGTATATATAAAAAGGGGCAGAGTTTTATGTTCACAATGTTTATCGTTTTCCTAAACGGTTGGAATAGTTTAAATGACTGATTTGGGGGGGACAAAATCTTGTTTGCATTTTTTGTACTTCTTAGAATACATTTAGCTTTAATGATGTGTTTTGTACAATCAAGACTAATTCATATCCTCTAAAAATTGTCTGAGAAAAGATAATAAAAATTAGACAGATGATTTCTGTATAGAATATTTAGACATGAAATAAGTTAAAAGCGATTAAATCAGCTATTAAATGAATAATTAATCATATAATACTGGTTATTATCAATTTTGTATGCCTGTTTATATATTTTATGGAAATACTTCGCATTTTTAGGACACAAACAGTATTTCAAAGAAGTCTGAAATATTAGTAAAACCACATTAATAAATTAAATTGAAATAAATGATGGGATGTAATTTAAAAGACAGAAATAATTTTATGTAAGAGATTTAGATTTAAAAATTTTCACACACAAATGATTTATAAGATTTTATAAGGTTTTATTTCATAAATAACTTTGATTTTGAAATATGGCATTTAAAACTATAAACATGTGTGCATATTGAAAAAATGATGAATATATGAGAATATTATAATGTTCAGTAAGTTTTCTTATTGAATAATAAATTCTGACAATCCTATAAGACTAGGGTCTAAGTTTGCATAAAAATTCCTCAGTTATATAAAAGAATTTAAGCAATTTCTGTAGCCTTTTTGTCAATACATTAAAGATTTTTTTAACTAATTACACGTCCTCGCTTGCAATTAGAACCATCATTAAGTCCCTATTTCATCTAATCATTTCCTGAATATTATCATGTATATAGATTGACTTCGTCTTTGTAACCGATAATTATTACTTGCAAATTATTCTCTTACTGGTGAACTATTAACATCCTTCGCTCTTGCTACCGCCTGCCTTACGGAAATCGGCGTAAAATGCTGGTACTTGAGCTGTTTGTACGCATGTGCGAACGTAGGTGGTGTGAATAGCCTCTTAGGTATTCACACCGTCGGTGCGATTAGCCACTGCGTAAAAACCCCAGTCACCCTTTAAAAGGGGATGTGTATAAGGTATTTCTTCCGCCTTCTTCGAATGTTTTCGTGGTGTAATGGTTTTGCACGCTGGGCCAGTATTCCAGAGGTCCGTGGTTCGATTCCCGGCGAAGGCGATTGCTCATTTTTCATCTTGCTTGCTTCTAAAAATACCTCATGTCTCTACAATATCACTAAACTGATACTCAATTTTTTTAAAAATATTAAAAACATTTTAATGGTTTCGGAATTGACAGGCAGTATTCTTCAGTTTATAGTTACAAGTAATAAAATTCTTCGAATGCTTTCGTGGTGTAATGGTTCTGCACGCTGGGCCAGTATTCCAGAGGTCCGTGGTTTGATTCCCGGCGAAGGCGATTGCTCATTTTTCATCTTGCTTTCTTCCAAAAATACCTCATGTCTCTACAATATCACTAAACTGATACTCAATTTAAAAAAAAAAATTAAAAACATTTTAATGGTTTCCGAATTGACAGGCAGTATTCTTCAGTTTATAGTTACAAGTAATTATTTACATGATTTATTTCATGTTTATTTTTTACTAAACTTTCCCAACTGCTTCCCTCACGGATCTTGTAAGCAGGGCCGACGTTAGGACATTTGCCGCTAGGTGCAAACTCCGTGGCTCCTAAATTCTAAAAATTGTGCTGCCATTAAATTCTGCCGCCCAGTGTGGCGGCATTCCTCTGCCCGTAAACAGGGCGGATGGGACTATCGGGATTTCCCGAGGTGCTAGTGCCTGCTCTGTAACCTAATATTGATGATTTAAAATAGATGTAATATTCATCATAATTATAGAATGCATGCAGCAAAAAGTGATAAATTTAAATGATAAAAAAAAAAGATTTAAAGACAAATCGAAAAACAAACCTATCGCGTTAAAAACACATAAAAAAGATTTAAAGACAAAAAGATTTAAAGTTACAAAAATATCGACATATAAAATACTTTGAAGCAAATTAAATTCATCATCTTAACTCCATCGTGGTTAGCTATTCGTCACTTCGTAATTGTTGGACCTAATTCTTTACCTCATTGCATAGAAACTGCGAAATTTCGTGACATCCGGAGGATTCTGTAAAATGTTATGAAGATGCAGGCACCTTTATGCAAGTAGACAACTGTTTGCCAAGATTAAGATCTTCCTATGTGTGCACTGGAAGCCTTGATGGGGTTGCTTTCTTCATGATACCGAACTTTACGAAAATGCCAACAATGTCACCCTTGCCTCCCATCCGATATAGTGGTTAGTGACGTAAATGCCACCAAGAATGACCATTGACCTTAACCTTTTAAGAAACG